TCATTACGTACGTGATGATTTGAAGTTAAGTGCAGTTTTTGCATAATTAACTAATCGGTTTGGTCAATATTTAAAGTCACGTTTAATATTGACGGATGTAAATTCCATACAAATGCCTGTGTAATCATACCACGTACGTTCATGATATTTTTAAATAGGGTTATTTTAAAGATTTTTTATTACCAATAGATCAAATTGTGGCGTGTGGGTGCGATTTGTTTACCTCGTTATAACAGTATGGGTAAACAACTCAAATTATGATCGGTTCCTGAGATGGAACATCTATCCGTGAAAATCGTGATGTAGCTAAATAAACGGTCACTCATTCTCATTCTCCTGTTTTACGGTTTATGCGATAGATTTTAGTGTGGCACCTATTAATCTGTCACGCACGAGCGGTAGTAACAGTTAAAACTGAATGGGTACCGAATTTCGACGTTGCCACTCTTGATTGGCTGCTGTTTAGTTAAGACTGTCTGCACTCAATCTATACTGATCTATTTGTTTATAATGAGCGATTACTACCCAAGTCCGGATTTGCGGAAAACACGCAAATATGCACACGTTCACCTTGATATTAAAAAAAGATAATCGAAACTATCCTCACACAAATATTTTTCAGAAAATTAAAAAAACACTCTTTGTTGTATTCATTTCTGTTTCTCGCCGTCTCTCTTGTTGTTTTCATTTAATTCCCCCGTTCTATTTGTCGTCTCGCGGTCGACCAAGCCCGTGTTTATTCAGTTTCCAAATGTTTAATTGGGACGATTAATGAAGTTGTGATTCAGCGCTTCGTGTTTGACCAAGGATAATTAGCGATTAAACAAATTCGCCGTGAAGTTTCTCGTTAACGGAACATCTTTTCATTCGTTCGGCCAATTTTTACAAGAAACAACTTTTTTTGAGCCAATTGATATTCTCTCGTTTTTAATAATCGTTATGTGGTTCGTTTCGTTTCTAGTTCGATCGTCCGTAAACCTAATCAGGCGTAACTTCATTCTTCGTTGAGCGCAACTATACGCACGCGAATGTAATTAAATAAGCTAAATCCCGTTTATTAACCCGTAAATAACCAGGTGACGTTCTCTATCAATTATAAATTACCGAGCCAAATAGTTTGTGACGCTGTAGAGCGTAAAAACTATTTATAAAACAAGCTGTCCACTCTTAGTTATTTGTATATAAATAAACCAATCGATATTTCTTTAAATTTAAAACGCTGATTCTAAATAAGTAATATTGTAGCTCCTTTTTAACCTCTAATTATCTTAGATTTGAAGGAAATATAATAATTACCGTCGAAATCAAAACCATTTCATTGAACAAAGATTTGGGTTATATAGTGATGACCGGCTATAACGAGCTAATTTGAAAACTCAAATAAATAAACAATAAAAAATTTAACCGTTTAATTTTAAAAATTCAAATGAAATTTTAATTCCGGAACTAGCGACGTTGTCAAGTCTAATCTACCGTGAGACAGTTCAGAGTAATAGCCGGTTCATACGCTTGTGTTAACTCGTTAACAAATCTTTAACGTAAAATTCAACGAATTAACTGTGATTAAACGATAACAAACTTCCTAAATTTTAGTTAATACGAAGTAATATTACTGGTTTTATTGTTCCATCAAAATGAGGAAAATAACTTGTCTAAACAGTAACAACATAACCACAAAAAAAATAAATTAATGAGGAGTTATGAAATGAATTATTATGAGCAATATTATCTTTCGTATTGAAGGTAAGTGAATTGTTAACTAAATTAACACGAATAAATCTAAAGAAAATAACACTTAGCTTAGTCTATTGGTTGTAGGATAAAAAAGTCCACGGTACGGGATTCTGTGATTATCAGGGACGAGAACCAAAATGATGTTTCTTCATTAGGGTTATTATTTTTTTTCTTTGAATCGGAGAAATTCTTCAAATGAATTTTTTTGAGGTTATATCAACATTTATTTTTTTAACATAACCTAAAACGTTGCATATAACGTTCGACGAGGCAAAAACACACGTGTTCGCTCTCAAGTTCAAAATCACACTAAAATTTAAATTTTCGTTTGTTTAATGTTTGAATTTAAAAAATAGTGTTTCCTGATTGGTCAATTCCGTTAACTTGAAATTCGTTTTTAAAATTTTCTGATATTACCAACTTTAACATTTGAAATGTCACTAATTTAATTTGATTAAACATTATTTAAATTTTTTTAATAACTATATTTATGTATGAAATTTCGTTGTTTTAATGCTTCTTTAAATTGATTTTCAGATATCTGATCATTTTCTTCTATATTCAACGGCAAAATTCTCAAAATGCTCAAATCTTGAGATTATGAATTTACATCTAAAATTTCATTAATCACACAAAGGACACCTGTTTTCCATTCTTACTATGTTAAGATTATCATTTTCAATAGTTTCAACCGGATAAATATAGATTTGAATCAGAAATTGAAAAGAAATCAAATTGAGGTTATGTATCTGTCAGGGGGTGTTTAAAATTATTTCATATCGACTTTACATGGGTTATATACAATAGAAAACATTAACGGTCAATAATACATAACGGAATTCTGTTATGGAGTTGAGTTTCTGCCCAACTGGAACGATTTTCTTCCGTAGATACAGTTCTACAGTTTATGTATGATTTTATCTCATTCGCTCGTTATAGGCGGTACAAAACATGCAAAATTAGTTCGTTATAGCCGATCCTCGTTATAACCGAGATTTTCAACATTGTAAGGATAAGACTTTTGACAGGACCTGAAGGCATGCATACTTGTCATAGAGTGCTCATTATATCGCGTGTTCGTTATAACCGGTTTTGACTGTAATTAGATGATATGTTTAAAACGTTATGTTTATTATGGGATGATAAGATTTTCTCAAATTTAAGACGGCCCAGTTTACGATTAGTTGCAAATAGATTTTAATCTGGCAGTTAAAAAAATTACAGTTTCCTTCGATATTACCAACTTACATTCGAATTATGTCAAAACCAATTTGTTACAAATTTGTGTTGAAATTAACGATCAGTTTTTTTCTAATATTCGAATTTAAAATTAAAATTGATCTAAATACCATGCATTTTTCAGGTTTGTTATTTTCTGCTATTAATATCTTATCATGTTTTAATTATTGGTTAGTTTGTAACGATTATTACTACAATCGCTTAATTAATTCATAATATTCACTGTTGATATATATTTTTTAATTTAAATATCGTTGATTGCAACGATATACAGTGGCGGACAAAAGGTTTTTGTATGTAGACTTTTGTCCGTCACTGTATATATCTTGAGGCCTACTTCAAATATCAAGTCCGAGAAGAGTGACAATAAATTTGATTGAGCAGTTACTTGACTGATTTATTTGCGCTTGGTGTTGGCACTGATTAATGTTTCCAGTTGATATTTGAAACGTACACAACCATATGCTATTTTACAGTATAATTAATATGCTACATATCCACACATTATAGTTATTTTCATTTCGTTATTATAAAAATTGAATACAATTATAATATTATGCTGTTATGTATATTTTATATTAATTAATTATTGTGTATTGTATCTATAGTAGAGAGTTTGAAGTCATTATTAGAGTTGGGGGATGCAATGATGGGAAGTGTAGTCAACTTCCGGGCGCTAATTACCGGGCAACGAGTGCGGGGTTGGCCGTAGGCGACCAATGAGAGGGTTACTTCGTGCCCCATTGGTTTGGAACACGGCCATTGTCGGCCCATTGTAGGGCCTTCGAAGGCCCGGCGGCCCGCGGCCCCATTGTCGGCGCCCCTTTTATTCCGTGCTGGATCCGCTTTTGGACGCTCTAATTGCGTTCAACGACTAATCAACGGGCCGCGTAATGGCCAATATGGGCCGGTGGAAAATGGCGGGCGCGTAATTGGGGCCGTGTAGGGTTTACGAGGGCCGACGACGGTCGTCGCTCCGCATACATACGGCACTCGGGACGCGGAAGGGCCGCGGTACTTCACAGCTAAATAGGCTACTGAGGATATGGAAAAAAGGAAGGTAACGAGTGGGGACGTTGCCCGAAGAAATATCTAATAACCTTTTTCGTTTCGCTGATGGAGCTTATGAATAGATTCGAGTAAATGAGGACCCTCCGGTGGGATAAGTATAACAACCGTTTGTTTGTTTTCTTGCTTGCTCTTCGGGTAAAAAGCTCTTCTTTTCTAGAGAGATTGTAAGAGCGTACATCCTGCTTTAGATTTTTTCCACTTGGAATAATCTTAAGTGGCAATATCAATCTAATTTTTGTGAAACTTTTATTCGTCAAGAAATATTCAATTTCATCTAGAATACAAAAACATAATTAATTAATTAAAAGATTATTAATTAGAAGAATTTATTAAAATGATCGGTTGATTGGTTTTGAACAATAGCTTAAAAGCTACAGTTCGCAAGAAATCCACAATTCCCGTTATATACAAGCCCCCCCGGTTTAATTTAACATTTCTTACGCTCGGCTCCTTTTCTGTAGCCGCTTTCCCTTCAATCGAGATTATCGGACGGGGGGCAATAACAAACAATCGCGCCGGACGAATAAAGGACCCGTTCTGCCTCCGGTTTCAATTTCGCACCGGCCAATTCGTAACGAAACGTAGAAAAGACGGCGAAATGTCTTGAAATCTCGCAAGGAATTGCGGGCGGAGCTCCGGTCCGAGAACCAGCGCGCTCGTAAAACGGAAAATACGGCCGCTAATACGGCCCTAATAACAGGTCCCCCCGTTCCGTTCGTTCTGATGAGAGCATCGCCTGGGGACGACTTTGTCCCGTGTCCCACCTGGGACCAAAACTCCAACTTCTACGGCCAATTACTTACTTTTCTCGTGCCGTTTGCACCGTCTGCGGCCTGTCTGCTATGTTCTAGCTTAAAAAAAAAATGATAAAATATACCCAGACGCTATAAAACTTAATCGTACATTTTTCTAAATTGATTTCTAAAATGATCGTTAATCTTTAAGTTTATTTTAAGGTTATGAACTTTTAAAAACTGATTTATGTTCTTTTTGCAGGCAGCTGGGATTACCTAGTTCATTTACGAACTCTGTGGATTTATCACCATCAGCTCACTATAATAGGTGTTATAGTTTACCATACTTGTCAGAAAAACAGAAGACCGTTTGTGCTAACTTTAATAGGATATTACCTGTAAGTTTAAAAATTTATTCCTATATAAACTAGATTTAGACTTTAAGTCATTTCTATTTGCCGACAAGGTTATGTGGGGTGACCTTGACCTTGAGGTTGCAAAAAAAGAGCGTCAATCGGCAAATACTTACTATTGTCAGAAATATCTCTGTTTCTAATAAACAGTAAATTTGTATCAAAAACGATATCACTATCGTTGAAAACTCATGATTTATGCAACTTTAGAGAGCTGTCAAAACGATACTTTTAAAGATTAAGTACTATAACTTTTAAAGACGTGTGACATTTAAAGTTTTATTTTTGTTAAAAAGTTTATTGCAGCGATTATAAATTTTCTGCCTTTAACACAATCTTTTCACTTCATGTTTAAAATTTTTCCTGTATTAAATGTTATCTAATCCTCTAACATTTCACTTACATACTCTTAAACTAACGACTTCCCCATTCTACATAATGTTACGTACCATAAAGATTGTAGATATCACGCGGAAATCAAGTAAATCAAGTTGTAAATTGAAATAAATCCAACAATTTTTTCTGGTAACTTACCGCATTACCACAAATTTTTCTCATTACACGGCTCCTTTCATCTCTAAGAGATGAAAGTCGGCTTTACTTTCACTTCCCTTCTATTAATTGTGTACACGCACACGAAATAAATTTTTAGCAATCGCCATTCATGCTTGCATCGTTTTGACAAATCGCGCCTCGAAAACATCATAGCTCTTGGCAGCCGGCCAAGAAGTGCATTCTAAATATATGCAAATTATCGCCGGGCAGACGTTTACGTCTGGTTGTTTCTCATGTCCGGTGACCACCTGACAGTCCGATATCTTCTTCGTCTCGTAGTTCGGGGGCTCACTAGCTTCTTGACAGACTCTCAACGGGGCAGTAAAAAATTAACGACATTCCCGATAGGCTACCATCAAAGATATCGCGTCGCCACAGCACTTAAAAGCGTTCTTACGCGGAGAGACGTCAATGTTAACAGGATTTGTTTTTATTTTCTTTGGCCCCCTCCCGAGTTCTTTAATGCTTTTTACAAAGTTGATGGTTTTTTTATATTAAGTGGAGCACAAACATTGTGTGGGAAAAGTCTTAATCCTAACTTTCCACATTTGAATCTTATTGTTATTTTCTGTTATTCCAAGAATCAATACCTTACAATGTTGCAATAGTGATAAAAATTACTGAACAGGTAGATATGAGCGAGTGTAGCCTACTTTTCAGAGATTTATTGTGAACGCTGTAACAGTTGTACCCAGTACACGGACATAACTCAGCGCTGTATAAATACCGTGTCAAAAGGTAGATATGATTTACGGTGCTTTCAAATCGGCATTAAGCGGAACAGGTTAAATTAGCTACGTGCAAACATGTCAGCGCCATAATTGAACTTAAGCCGAGGTTAATAATTAATTCACTATCGTGTTCTCGTCCAAATACAACTTTTTTGAATTGAACCAAGGTTATTAAATATGCTGGTAATATTTCAATCAAGTCATAAGAACAAGTATTAATTTTCAACAAGCAAATTAAGGAAGATAAAAGTAGCTGCGTGTTCAAAATTTAAACCTGACTCAAATATGCCTCAACCTAAATCTATGATCAGATTCTATTCAAACAAAACTCAACTCAAGTCATGTTTAATTAGTTGTTTGTTGCTCTTAAAAACGTTCAATGCAGTGATAATACCAGAAAAATGATAATTCAAAACCAAATAACCTAAATTAGAGGGGAAATGCTCTGCTAAACATTTTGATGAGTCAAGATCGAGTTTTATCAAGATTGTGTTTTATTCACAATCGTTGCGACAATTAAGTTTATTATTTTAATTGAGATAAGCTTTGTAATCAATGCAAATATGAAAATGCTAAATCACGACCAGTTGTGGTTTTAAACTGAAAACTTGCAGATTTTTTTGGTTACTCGAACTTTTAGAGTTTTACTTGATTCCTAACAAGAATACTTAAATTATCATAACTAATTCGTTAAAATAGGAATCCCCATACCACACCAAAACTAAATCCATACAATTTACAAAACGATCGCGAGTGTTGGTATAGTCAGTATTATACGAGTAGGCGGTGTTTAAATATTTAGATAGCGACGATTTTAAATCTGCAACCGTGGCGCAAATTAGTCAGGAGTGGGTTCATAAAGTTGTATAACGTTGAGTAAAAGAAACTTGTGTAAATAGAGAATTATCCGTATCACATTAATCCGACACAACTATAAAAAAAACAATTTCAATGGTAATTTAGCGAATCTGCATCGACTTGTAAGTCAATCGCGCTTTGAAGCACCATCTACGTCCGTGTCCATCATAAATGCATGCGATGAAGATACGGACATGAAGCGGTGTTAATAACACATGCGTTTGCATACGTTGCGGTGCCCTCTAATTTAACCAAATGCATTCAGGAACAAGGCTAATTATAATTTACAAGATAGTTTGCTTTGATGAAGCCCACGAAAACCATTATATACATGGTGTAACACATCAAAACAAAAAATCTATAACTCGATTTTATTTTATTCATATTAATTTTTAGTGTTTTATAAAAATTTGTTTAAGTAGAATATGATTTACGATCGCGTCTCTTTGATCTCCAGTATCAACTCCAATTAGTATTTTGAAATAGCCTGGAATACAAACGACTGAGTTTAGTCGGTATGTTCTTTTATCAATTTTCTAATTATAAAGTTTTCGCTTTTAGGTATTGGGAAGAGGTGCTAAGATGGCAATGGACGAATGCCAGCACCAGTTCAGGCACACGCGATGGAACTGCACCACGTTCCCCGACAATTCTTCAGTCTTTGGCAACGTCGTATCGTTCAGTAAGTACTGAAACTCCCAAAATAGGTGCCCATTTTAAAGTTAATTGTTTTCGTGCCGGTCTTTAAAATTTACTTCGATTGATCCACCTTCTATCATAAACAAATAGTCGATCTCAATGTTCTTCCATTCGCTGTTACGGATCGGACCGGAAACGTATATCAGCAACAATGGAACCGTTACGATCCAACCAGGATCGGCGCGGGAGGTGAACGGCTTCGTTGAAATAGTAACGATTATGTACTTTACCAATAAACGGGGGCGAATGTTTACAAATATATTAACTATCAGTGCCAGGCGAGTCGGATTTATGACGCCTGGATAAATAAAAACTCGGTGAATCCCGTGAGAATGATTTGTGTATTTTATGTTGAGTACAAATTTGACCGCTTTGTATCCACTGTACTTTTAGCAATTTGTATAGACCTACAAAGATAGCTTCTACGCGATCAAAAATAAATTGAAGTAGGCCGTGAACACATGTGGCAGCAATGAATTTAGATCCAAATTAAACATCCAGCTTAAAGATTCAAATTTAAAGTTAGAAGTTTCTACCGGGAATTTCATAAAATTCGCAATATATGAATGCAGTAACGATAGTTACGAAACTACTACGATATGCACATCCACTGTCCCACATAAAATGCAACATATATAGTTTAATAGTACAAGCATTAGGTAGTTTTGCAAAGGAAAAATTTTGCTTGGAAAAAATAACGTCTTTATTATAACCCTGAGTTTTCGACCGTCTTAAGAGACGCACAGAAAATCCTGAATGTTTCTGGTTCTAGGTCTAGTGTTAGTTCCACTTTTCGTTCAATAAAAATATACCACAATTTAACGATAGATAACAATTAAATCAACTAGAACTAATCACTAGAACTAACACAAGACCTAGAACTAGAATCATTCGGCTTTTAGCTGTCTTGAGAGACGTGCGGCTAAACCCGAATGATTTTTTACACTAGAACTATCACTAGAACTAACATAAGATCTAGAACTAGAATCATTCGGGTTTAGCCGTCTTGACCGACATGCGGCTAAACCCGAATGTTTCTGGTTCTAGGTCTAGTTTTAGTTCTAGTTTTAGTGCAATAAAAATATGCAACATAGTGATATCTTATACTAAACTAGCACTACCTACCACTGTCACTAGAACTAACATTAGACCTAGAACTAGAATCATTCAGGTTTAGCCGTCTTAAGAGACGCACTGCTAAACGGAATGTTTCTACTTCTAGGTCTAGTCTTAATTCTAGTACTAGTCTACTTTTATTTGTTATTCTAGATTGTTGTACATTTTTATTGAGCTATATCAGACACTACATTCCCATTATTGATCCGTTATATCGAGGTTTTACTGCAATATCAAATTATATTGACATGATGCATTTTAAGTAGGACAAACTAAATAAGTACGCCCTGGTGTCTATGGAAATATATTTTTGTATATTGCATCTTAAGTGGAATTCACTGTATACAATATATTCCTATAAATACAAAAAATTTGATTTATTTTTTATCTATATTCTTTTTCTTTGTCATAGAAAGCAGAGAAACCGCATATTTATCTGCAATATCAGCCGCTAGTGTAGCATTTGCGGTAACGAGAGCTTGCTCAAAAGGAGAACTCAATGAGTGCTCTTGCGATCCAACGGTGAGACAAAGAAAGCCAAGAAATTGGCAATGGGGTGGTTGTTCAGAACACATCCGATTCGGAGAAGATTTCAGCAAGAACTTCTTAGATATTCGTGAAGATACCACATCCGCAATAGGATTAATGAATCTTCATAATAATGAAGCAGGAAGACGAGTAAGTTTATAAATAAAAAAAAATATCTAACATTAACAACGAATGATTTTTTTAGACGATTAAATCCAGAATGCAACGTGCTTGTAAGTGTCATGGTATGTCTGGATCTTGTAATATGAGAGTTTGTTGGCGAAGGCTTCCACCGTTTAGAGAAGTAGGAGAGGTCCTGTATCAAAAATACGAAGGAGCGTCTCACGTGAAGTTTGTAGAAAGGAGAAGGAAGAAGTTAAAAGCTGTCAGTGCTGATTTAAAGAAACCGAGTAAAGCCGATTTGGTGTATTTGGATGATTCACCCGATTATTGCGAAAAAAATGAAACGTAAGTAATACTTAATTAAGAATTGATAAATATATACTAACTAAGCCGGAAATTAAAGTTGTGATACCTTATAATCCATCCACTATTAATACCGTACTTCTAATATTCCTACGAAGTCTATTATTAACGTTTTATAGCTGCCATGTCAATATTAGTAACTCAGCATGTCTTTAAGTACAGTTACGCATCGCACGATTAATAAACCTTTTCCTGTATCTCGTCTAATAATAAATCAAAATCTCCGGGGTTTATCTAATAATTATTTTTTCTAATTACAGTTTAAGCATTCTTGGAACACGTGGACGGCTTTGTAATAGAACTAGCGCAGATATGGACGGCTGCAGGTTACTTTGTTGCGGTAGAGGATACCAAACGAGGGTACGAGAAGTGAAAGAAAAGTGTAATTGCGCTTTCCAATGGTGTTGCAAAGTGGTCTGTCAGACTTGCGAGTACAAGAAAGAAGAACACGTCTGCAACTGAACTGATCAAAGTAAAAATCAAACCCACGTCGTAGTAAATCGAATTCGATTCGCATACGTCTCGTCATTTTTTTCACGTAGTCGCATCTCGTACGTCCAAAGTAATCATTTCCCTTGTTCGATTTTGTCCACTCTCTCCGTTCGTCGATCGTTGTATATTTATTTATATAATAATAATGGTGATTAAAACGAAAAGTTCGCACTCTCGTATAGGAATCTCTTTTTACATAGTGTAATAATTATTACGGAGGAGTAAATGTGTATTATTACTATTGTCGACGCTATTTATATAGACACTTGTACATATAGATACTTTTTAATATGCTCGGATAGGTATGTACTTAAATCACTTACTGTGTAGAAACTTTTTATAAGTTACTTTGTACATATTATAAAACGTACTTGTCTCTTTCCTCTATATCTCACTTTATCTTTACCTTTCATACTCTTAGTAATCGTGTAATTTATATATGTGGTGTATAAATATCATCTTTTTGCCTTGGAAATCTTTACATCGAATCCAAATCATCATCATAGTCTTTGCCTCTTCATCGCATCATCATTCTTTGAAATATATCTTAATGTGCCATATACATAAGTGGATGTATCTTGTATATGTATAACGTTGTGAAAAGTTTCTTTTTCTCTATTGAGAATTTTATTTTATATTTTCCTTTATACTGAACTAATTTCCTTTCACTTAATTTATGTTTATATACGAAAAATTACAGTATTAAATTATTATTAAATAAATAATAAAATCTTTGTGTACAAATAATTTTGTAGTTTATTTTTAGTCTATTTTTGTTTCTATTTACATAAATTAATAACATTTTCTAATAATATGTGCCTAACTAATCAAGTGATTTATTCAAAAACAGAGTCTCCACACCTTCTCAGTTCTCAACGCAAAGCTAAAACTAACCGAAAGGCAAGAAAAGCCATTATGGCTAACCAGATCTGCTTATTACCCAGCGGAACAACATCCCAGATCCTCTTTGAGAGGAGATCTGAGTCCCAATAATATCATCGTGAGCAACAACGGATGTTTTAAGAGATTTATGGAATCTCTCTAACATTCCATTGCTTTGAGGATGATAGGCAGTTGTGTGAATATGATAAGATGCAATTAACTTGCTGAATTGCGAAAAGAGTTGGGATTCGAATTATCTTTCGCGGTCATCTTGGAAAGCAGCGATTAAACGTATCTATGATAGTCAGAACATAAGAACATCCTAAGCAGGGAGTGAGTGGATCAACTAGATCAATATGAATATGCTCAAAGTTGCCTTTCGGAATAAAGATTTTCAGAATAGGAGATTTGGTGTGCTTAGTAACCTTTGCTTGTTGGTAAGAAAGACAAGTTTTGAGCAAAATGAGAGAAATTATGAAAGAGAAATTAGAAATGAACTTGTGATAGAAATTTATCATGCCTAAGAACCTTTGAAACTTTTCAATAAAACAGATTTTGGAAAATCAGAAATAACTTTAATTTGTCAATCTGATGGTCGAATAGCGTCAGATGAAACATGATGACCAGGGAAGTCTAACAAAGGTGCACCAAAAATACATTTTTTAGGTTGGATATTCATGCCAAGGCTAGTTAATTTTTTGAAAAGTTTGGATATGTTGTAAGCGCTTAACTTCATCTTTAGTAGCAACAAGTATGTTAGGGCTTAATTTACAATAGATCTTATAGGTCACGGTGACGGGAGAGGTCGGTCCCCTCAGCCTGGTAGGAATAATAATAATAATAAGAGTTATCATTTAAGAATTAATTAGAAATTTCAAGTTTGAACATTGAAGATTCCTTTAAAATATCATACAAGTTAAAGTTTTATACACTAGATGGCTCTTAAAATCTCGTTATTATAGTGACCATTTAAATATTTTAATTCATAAAATTACATTTGTACAATTACTATTTTTTTATAAAATTGACTTATATAATGTTTTATATCTTTTATTTATATATATAAATTAATAATTTTTAATTTAAGATATTTATAGGTTCTCTTATGTATTTAGTCTAACTTTTGACGGAAAGATGTCGCCATACAAACTTTTTTGTTGTTGACTTAATATATAAATCAATAGTGAGGATTAGTTAATATTTAAACATTTATAAAAGATTTTTTTGTTAAAATATATTAAAAAAATTCTTATTAAATCCATTTCCAATCATTGTATAGGCCAAATTATTTTGTATGTTAATTTTAATTATATTGAATAATCCCAATTTAAATTGAGCTTATAACAATCAACTATAACATGTTTTACATAATACGATTTGTTTCAATACTATTGTTATTATGGTTAAATTAATGAATTAGAACTTGATATGATAATTCAAAAATCACACTCTCTGCAATAACACATTATCTTGTATGATACAGTTACAGTTACTATTTTAACATCAATCATTTCCAGTGAATGTAACTGCCATTTACTAATCCCGGTTAATACGCATTCCATTCGGGAAATTTTAGTCTGACAGGTCCCACAATTGATGCATTAACCAAATATGTACACAAAAGTTGTATGAATGAAACTGGATAATGAACTTGTAAACCTACAGAGAGGAAAATAAATCTCAAATACTAAAAATAAAACAAAAACTATTTTCTAAGCAATAACTTGTAATTGAAAGAATTATATAATACGAAGAATTACATTAACTCCGTAGTATTTACACCAGTACTAAAATTAAAATTTAATACAGGAAATAGACCCATTCTAAATGTAGCAACAACACACTTTAACACCTACGACGCTCATTGAAATGGTTGGATAAGTTCCAGTGGCCGATGTACAAACGAAAGTGGCATCAAATAATATTGTGATATAATAAGATTAAAACTAAACAACTATACTATAAATTTATTTCTTCAATTTGTTTCAATTTTTTTTTTGTTTGGTGACCCATCCTTTTAGTTTATTCCTCTCAAGTACTTAACCAGCTGACTGGGAACGACGCCTCGTAGACGACGCATGGCGACGACGGGCGTCGGTTCGTCCCGGCGTTCTACGTGAGCGCGAAAATATCGCGGCTTTAGTAACGTGCAAGAATTGTCGGCGATATGCACGGAACCGTGCGGTTTTTATGAATACACGTTCAAACGCGCATTATTTCTTTTAACATTCTTTTTTCATTTTTAAACTAAATAGTACTATTTATATTTATTGTTTCGTCGCGATAGACAATTAAACAGTTTTGGTCGTAGTGTTACATAAAAAAGGGAGAACTATTAAATTATTTTATGCTTGTAGTGTATTGAATTCAGGGTGGTGTTTTATTCAGAAAAAAGGTGGGTGTTGTTGTTCTATATTATTCCTATTACGTTTTATTGGTCATTGAGTAAATTTTCAAAAAAAATTCGACATCGTCATAGATCCCATTTTTGAAACGAATTCCACGCTAACATATCTCCATGGTCAACTATTTCCAGACCTTATAAAAATAGGTCTCAATCTCTCGTAGTTGTACACTCTACAAAACTTGATTTATTACTTTTTTACTTTATTTTATTTATACCAGTCCATACAAGAAGAAACGATTTAATTTAACTCGCACCCATCAATTAACCCCTCTGAAATGGAATTAATTACCAAACTTCGTCAGTGTTTTAACTGAGAAACCATTAGGGAAAGATTTAATTGCATGTTCTTCCAACCTTCACCTTTTCCACTCTCTTTTCGTCCTCATACACCCACCCCATCTTTCCATCATTACCATTAGCAGGTGACAAATGATCTGTTAATTAAATTACCAGATTTAGCTATGTTTAATTTGACGTATCGAGCTGATATTACTTGTACTATATCTGCATAATATATTTATGATCCAGATAATGTTAATTGATGATAAATATTATTCTGATATGGCTAATTTAGTTTACTCATAACTACGGTTATATCAAAATACATTTTTTTTTATTTAAGGTTAAATAAAAATATAACGATGTTGTAATTTAGATAAAAGATTATGTGGTTAATTCCCATAAGTACTCAACAATATACCTATATTGACATAAAAATTAAATTGGGGATAAAGTAGATACAAAACAATTTTATATAATATCCTCAAACTGTAGAACTGATATTCTAAACGAATTTATTTACCTTCTGGGTAACTTCGTAGTTCTGTTCGTTTTGGATCTGGAAATGTAAGAGCTTTTTGCGTTAACGAGCTAATTGGTCTAACGACATCCAGGTGTCTAGTTGGAATAACTCAGAAACTTATTATGAATTCTTCTTTTAATTGTTTAATTATTGTAGGCTTATCTACAACCTACATTGTCATTTCGCAATTACACCAAAACTCAACTTTCTGATTTATACGAATGCTACTTTCATCATCACGCAACCTCAGCGTTTCATTTTAACTGCTTTATTGTTAGAAGCATGCCCTTGAATTCCCTGGTTCATTTCGTTATGATTTTTACAAATTAAAATTTTCGGGTTGGGTCCAATGAATTTTGCTGCCTCTTTGGCCAGCCTTCTCATTGCCCTCATAGTCTCCGGGACCTGGAATCAACCATAGATTAACATCATTGCCCCTAGCGAGTTCTCTCAGGTTGCTGGTACACTTTCTGATCAGTGCGGAGTAACACGTGTAGGCCTGAATTGCCTTTAGAGCGATTGGACTATCTGTGAAGCGGTGTAGAAGTTTATAGCAAGTACTTCTGCTTGAAAAATGGTTATGTCCAAACTAAGGGGCAATTTAATGTGGCTATTTGGTCCACTAATGCCCATGCCTACTCCGGATCCAACTGTCTTTGAAATTGTAACCAGTAGTGTATACCATAGATGTCTGGTTATTTTCTTGAGTGTGTTCATCACAGGAAATATTTGGCTCTACGTTTGTTAAACTGTTACAGTAAATTATATGATGGTCCTGCCCAGAACAAACTCATCGCGAACGTTATTTGAGACGCTGCATGAATAACATGCGAAGACATGCATGCTTACTCAGTTATTAAGTATTGTTTAAACGAATGGTTTGTTGAATACCATGGTGTAACTTGTGATATTACTAGCGGATCTACTTTTATGATATACATTTGATAAAACAATAAAGAGAAAACGATAAAATAAAGTAGTGGCGTGCGTACATGATCTTGCCATAATACTCGCTGGTCAAGTCAATAGTGGTCAGAATAATCCATAAATCTTAAGAAATAGGCTTCGCTATCGTTCTTGATAAAGGTTTTCAACAGACTTCTGCTTGAAACAAGTTGTATCATGATGATATGAAAAGATCTAAGTATAGCTTAAAGAGGTACTTTCTATACCAAAAAACATGTTTGTTGAAGATGTAAATATCATGGAATAAATCGGAAGATCTTTGCAGAACAGTTAGAATGAAGGTAAAAAGTGGCATAAACTAAAATAAAACTCTATATATAAAACTCTTAGAATTTCAAATTTAGATTTATTGAGACATAAACTCTCCGATTCAAAACTTGAGACGTCTAACGGAGATTCACGAATTCAATTTCGATGTTTTAAGGATTAGGAATACTAAAAAGCTCATATCGATTCTATAATCATATCGAAAACTACCAACAATAAAAATTCATAGGTTATAAAACTGATTAAAGAATTTCTTTTATTTGTTACAAACTTTATCTGTCATCAAAGAGTTATGTTTCATATTAAGACAATTGGTTCGTTCAATTCTCCTTTAATGTAATTTCGCTATGCTTCCGTTGTCCGGATTCTCGGAAATGCTCGGCCATAGGGGATTTAATTCCCCTTCATTTCCAATGCGTCTCCCGTTGAAATATTCACGGTTCCTGTGGCGAATGTGGCACCGTAGCCCCACGTTTAGACCCCCACATTATATCGCTGCGTTGTTTACACATTCCTAGGAATATATCGATTTTGAAAGTCGCTCGAGGTTCGGCTTTATTTCGGGTAGACTTTGAGATTCGTATCCGGGTATGGTCGGCGTATCCGATTTTAAATCTCCACTGAATTCGCTGAATCGCCTTGTTTGGAGCCGCCTGCAAGGCATTGTATATGTTTCTGAGCTGCTAAGCGGAAATTGTTTTGATTTCAAACTGATTCATTATTAAAATGTTTAATTACTTTTTAAGCATTTTCTGATAATTATTTTAATAAATGTTTTTAACCAAAATTGTTTTATACTCTATTTACGAAACATTCTACAGACCTTATAGCCACGGTTATTTATTTATCTGAAATCCTGGTGCTGCGCAACATTATCGTTGGGAATATATACATACGTTATACAGAGAACATTGTTTCGCGTAACGCGTCCGACAAATAACGGTGGATTTAATCCGGACGTTTCAAATCAGAATAGATTCCAAAACGAGGTAAAATCTTCCCTTTATTGCCATGTGCCGCAATTGAAAACTCATTAATCTAGTTTAAATGGCGATCCTGCTGGTGTAATAGTTCAAAACTTATCGATCTGATTGAGTGTTGTGACGCTGTTCTGAAACTCCTGAACCTCGTTATCGCTATCAGTACTTTGCGTCACTATGTCACTCGTTATACAGATTAGATTTCTCGTTAAGAAAAATCATATCAAATTTCCTATCTTAATACCAATATTGGTTATATTAATCATAGTACTTAATTTTATTTGTCGACATATTCTTTGATTGTTAATTTACTTCGTATGTGAGTCATGGTCTGGCTTACTATTCAATGTCGCTCCGATTCCGAAAGAACTTATTTCTGGATGCCATCGACATTCCCGGGTAGTATTTGGGTCAAGTTTTCATTGGTCAAGTTTACGATCTAATTTGCGCGTTTGCATGTATTTATATCTAGCTCCGTATGCACCGAATTAATTTTTTTGCAATATTCTCAATAACATTGTTAGTTAAAAACGTTGTGGGGTCACGTCTCGAGCGGATGCTGCACACAGCATCGAGCATTATGAACTTGACAACTATCGATTTAGTAACGTTGCACAATGGAAACAGGACGCTATAAGCAAACCGAATTTAAGGAGAATACTTGCAACGGGCTTCCGCATCCGACTCGACTATGAAGCAATTTGTCCAAACGACTCTATCGTAATATGTTAACGTTAGCACATTGCACGTGCGAGTTTTTGGATGGAAGCGGTGGCTTCTCTCCTCTGAGTTCACTTTCAGTTCGGTACTAGAATTCGGTTAGCGCTCGGATTGTCGACTAAAATAGCTCCGTCCAACGAGCCGAGCATAAATACATCGCATTCCGCTACGAACACCATAGTGCAGTGTTTCTCAATCTATTTTTTCTCCCACAATAATCCAAAATTAATATCACAAAAACTTAATTGTACAAAAGATTATTATTAATAACATCTTTTAATTATACACTAAAAAATAATCTAAATTTATAAATCATGAAATGTATCAATTGCCAAAAATCTTAAAATTCTTTTAAATAAGCAACTTTAAGTTTTTTATCTTACCCTAAAACAAGTAAATTTGACGTCAAAGCTTTAGATGACAAGAGTTATTTGGCAGGGCATCCACCGTTGTTTCCGATGCCCACGATTTTCCACTGTAGTAGTTTTAACATACGTGGCAGACGTCCAAAAGGCGTTGTGTCGACGTTGCCCAACGAACCATCTCATTTTCTGCAATTTCGTTTCAGAAATACGTACGTCGAAGAGTCAATGAAATGCGGCCGAATCGAATTTAGTTGTGTAAATGTAACTCTTTGAAGGCATCGTCAATCATGTCAAGCGAACCGGAAAGTAAGAAAAGCGTTTCCAGCAGTAGCAGAAGAAAACCAAGATCCAGATCGACTCCAAGACATGGAGAACCGGAAAAACCAAGAAAGAAGCGGCATCTCAGCGCTACAAATTCGTTGGTTTCCATACCGAATACAATTAAGTTGTCAATGATGAATAGTGGATTGTTACCGACTAGTAAGTAAAAATAAACAAATCGGTAATCGATTGCATGAGACCTTAAAATAAATCCCCTAGATGCGATAAGATTGTATAAAACGTTTCGTGACTTGAAAAAACCTTTCTCGATGAAAATGTCGTTAGCTTTTGATACGGTGAGTAGCTTCGTAGACAATTTCACGGTGAAACGATAGAACTTAGATGTGTAGCGGGAGCGAAACTAACTAAATTAATGTCTGGTAGACGTAATTGGGTATAGAGTACCTTACTCATTAATAAGGATAACATCAAAGAAACGTTCTGCAGCTTAGAACTATATGATGATCCAATATACAAGCTCGTAGACTAAGAACTTGATTCCGAGTAAAATATTACATCGTAAGTTTAACACCGCTGTTAAGCGATTAAAATTTATGTGCAAGAATTTAAAGTTGAATTCTGGCGGATGCGCCGGTTAGAAATAAAAATGGTAAGCTTTTTTATAAAACCGAACATTCGAGGAAGAAACCAAGTTATAAATAATTCAAAGTGAGGGAACTGTCGGGATTGACATGTATTTTCTAGGGAATATCTGAAAAGTTTCGTAGCGAAACTTTAGCGCATTCCCCGCTTGAATAGAGGCTGAAGCTACATAGAATCCTTATAGTTAAATAAAGAATGAGTATGTAATCTAAAACTACTAAAATTAAATAAAAACACCAAATAAGCACCAACTTCAATCTTTTAGGGAATCCTTTTCATTTATCCATCTAAAATTTCCATTTAAATAGAAGCCCACAAAATCTAGATTGAACCGGAGAAAGATTCTCCAGTGAATACGGGTTAAAGATTCGCCTGTCTATTTCCGGGTAATATCCAAACCGGAAATCCGTTCTAAAGGTATTTCGATCCAAGTCAACCTCATTGCATCGATTTTCAAGTCCTAAACCGTTTAGAGAGATACCTATTTCCCTATTTCACGATGGTTTTTACACTTTGGTAGTCAGACGGCAGAGTGAGGAAAGTAAAAAAGGAGGACATCCCAAAATGCCATCGGATCATCGAATGAGCTGGGAAAAGAGCAAAAGATGCTCATCACGTGGGGTCGCAATAGGGTCAAGGTCTTGGCCAGATCGCGAATTGTAAACAAGTCACGAAGTGAAAACATCTCCGAACACTCCGTTAGTGACGGTAAATTAATTTTTTTTTTCGGTGGAAAATGCGTTTGTTTTTTTCCGTAGATAAAACATCGAAGGAGATGTTAGAGATACAAACGTGTTTCTCGGTAATGGAATTAGATTTTAGGAAAAGTTATTTTAACGTATAAAGTTGAATCTGTGTGAGTCATTTTCTAGAAACGTCGATGTTTTAATTTAAACATCCGAAACGGATTCTCTAAAGTTGTTCTCTAAACAATTTGTATGAGAATAAACGTAAATTGTAACACATAATTAAATTGTTATTTTTTATGTTCCACAAAAATGTGTAACTTTAGCTTTTCAGCAGTTCCAATAAACACAACTTTATTACAAACCATTCCAAAGAAAAAAGAGTTGTGGCAAAATGGAACTGGAAGATGGTGTTCTTATAAGATGTCTCAGAAATTTACGTCGAGTCAAGGATGAACGTGACAGTCTTTTAGAGTAAACATTAACATACTCGGATATTAAATTTGTACAGCGTGGTGTATGATTTATACGTTTTCATATGTGAAGTTGGATATTCCAATTCCAGTTTAATAAATCAATTTCTTTACGTTATCTCTTTCATTATATTGAAAAAAAAGCACAAATTCAAATCACGCTTCAACCCAATCCATTAAAGCTCCAGTTAATGAAGTTTTATTGTTTCCGTGAAACCGGAATCGAATGACCGGAAATAATATATCGATCGGAATTGAAGTGTTTTTATTTAACACTGCCATATTTGATTGAATAAAATCGTAAAATAAATGAATCTTTCTTTAAGTGATGAAAGTCGATTGATTAAGCTCTTCATCCCTCATTCCGAAAAACTTTTAGCTTAATTATCTTGATACCGTCCAATTTTTTCGAGGGCAATTTCTGTTTGCTTGCATCTCGTTTCAGATGAAAATGGATCCACCATCGCCACCATAATAGAGAAATCCGTCGAACTTAAAAACTTCGTTAAGTTCTGTGAGCAGAGGAGAAAATTTCCCGTCCTCTACAAACTCGAGTTTCAAGTAAGTTTCGCAACCAGAAATGGAAAATAGTTTGCGTCAGTTAAACGACCCGTTTAAATTATATTTGCATTGCATGCCTTAAGGGTCTTTAAGAATAGATAACAAATATTGATTAATTTCATATATGTATTCAAATAATTCTTATCCTTTTATCATTTTTTTTGTTAATAAAATACATACAATAAATAGTTATAGTTTTGACAAATCACGCGATAATTGCCAAACATAAAAATAATCATTATATAGTATATAAATAACTTTCGGGTTTAGCTTTCATTCGGGTTTAGGATTCTAGTTCTAGGTCTTGTGTTAGTTCTAGTGATAGTGCTATTATAAAACTAGAACTAACACTAGACCAAGAACTAGAAGCATTCGGATTTAGCCACACGTCTCTCAAGACGGCTAAACCCAAATGATTCTAGTTCGTGGTCTAGTGTTCGTTCTAGTGATAGTGTGGCTTCAGAACTTAATCATCATTTCTAACATTTTCTCTTTCAATATTGACCTGAACTTATCAGTCTCATTACTTAATTTAACCTCGTGTGGATACGAGTAGTGTAAAAATTTCAAACAGGAACAGAAAATTTGTTTAAACACATTGCTTTGTTTATTGATATGCTGAGATTGTTAAGATTGCTGTAAATGAATTTCTCATGGATTATTTCGAGGGGTATATTTATATTCGTGCAAATTTTTACTTATATTTTGAAATTACAAATAATGCCCAGTCTGAAATAGTTGTAAATTATGCAGAAACCTGCAGCGCCAAATCGAGGTGATACGCCATGTGTGCAGTCTCATTAAATATGTACGCTTTGCAGTGCTATTCGGGAAGTTCAAATGCATTTATTATCACCTTGCCATAATAATGGGGGGTTAAAGAGGCCATCAGGACAGAGTTTCATGAATATTTCTCCACCAGGTGGTATCGCAACCAATGAAAGTAATATGTTTTATGTTGAGTAAAATATTAATATATTTTATCAATATATTAAAAGTACTCATTTTAGAGTATAATCAAATTGATAACGAATTGAGTGTAATTTCATTAAAGCTATTTGTTTTAAAAATAATCCAATGGTAAATACGCAAAATATCAATTAATCGAATATAACGGATTTGTTCAGCGTAAAAGCGCCAGTGTATTAAATTGAATTAATTAAAATATTCAATTAGTAATTACCAGAAATAATGTGGGTATAAATCAAAATTGTGTTACCAAATTCGAATTTTACGGTGAAATTAAAAAATAAATGGAGCTGTTGAAATTATCGTTGAACTTGAAAATGTTGAATAAATATTCTAAAAACTTGTCCCTTTTTTATTTTCGATTATAGCAAGAGAGTTAACAGTTATGACTTCAATACAAAAGTGGCGCCAACTTTAATTAAAGCTCACCTACTGGTAACTCGGTCGAGATAAAACGTAACGCTTTAGGGAACGGCTGCTCCTCTTCTGTTTTTTAATTAAAAACTACGACTCCAGGGAAAGTGCCTTATGTTCTTAAAAAAAAGTATACTGTTCCCCGATCCCTTTATTGTTCCCCATGCTCTCATTATTACAATAAATAATGAACGTTGATAAAGTTATTCACAATTTTCTTATTTTTTTAATGTTTACATAATTATTAAACTGTACCAACGCCAAGAAGAAATCCTCCGACGAAACCTGCCACAAAACAAGTGCTTCTGGTGGTTTTTGTCCATGAAAATCGATCTGTTTTTTTGACAATTATTTTTTGTAAATTTTTTGCTTTAACTTTAGCATCGTTCCAATTCGATTTTGTGAATCCTTGATTTTGTGCTAATTGAAATAGAATGACACCGCCCCCAATCATCGCAGTTGCACCTTTTCCAACTTTGACAGTTAAAAAACCAGTTATATATCCACAAACGACCCCTAAAGCCAACTGTTGTGTTGTTACTTTGTTTTTAAACAATCCATTCTTCATTTTGGTTCTTGATCATTCAATTTATGTATAAATTATACATAATTAATAGTTTTGATTTTATACTTGTAATTTGTAAGTTGATGTATTTTGAAATTATGACTGTTGTTTTTGATTTTGTCATATACTTGATGTAATTTGAGTAAATTTCATTGTCAATGAACGTTTTTTTTTCTTTTGTTTTCAGTATGCTGTTAAAGTAGAAACTCATTCTTGTAAACAAGCAACCAAAAAGGCAAACTTAGAAAAAAATCAAAACCAAAAAATAGTTCCATGTAGGTACACAGGATAAATTTAATAATTAGAAAATTAATCACGTTTGTATTTCTTTTAGATGATTATAATAGGGTAGTTTTAGAAAAAATGGATGGTGAAATAGATACGGATTATGTGAATGCATCATACGTAGATGTGAGTTTAATTCTTTTTATTTCGAACGATTCTAAAACATAAACAACCGATTATTTTTAGAGTCTTCTAAAACCGAATGCTTACATAGTTACTCAAGGTCCAACCGAAGAAACCGTTACAGACTTTTGGAGAATGATCTGGCAAGAGAAAGCCAGTTGCATTGTGATGTTAACAAAGACATTTGATTTCATTAAAGTACATTTTCCTGCTTTTATTTCTTTCATATTTTTATTTTTCTCGTACTTTAGGTAATGTGCGTCCAATATTGGCCTGCTAACATGGAATTAGAGGAAGTTTATGGAGGAATTACCCTAAAAGTGATACAAGAAGAAGAATTAGCCAATTTTAGAATAAGAACATTTAGGTTATATAAAAAGGAATTAGATGTAAGTGCCTAAATCCCGTAAAATTCACGATAATGAATATAAATTGGGTCAGTTTTCGCTTTACACAACATTGCTGAATAAAATTGCAGGCAAAAATAAACAATCCAAAAATAATGAATTATTAGTCGAAGTTAATATTTAATTCAAGTAAATTAAACATTAAAAAAATATTGTTAAAATTTAAAACAGTTATTTTTTACATTTTATAAACATATTAATCTCCACTACATGCCTCGGTTGCCTTGCACGACGTAATAAGCGCACCATACATTCATAAAATGTCATATCTACGAATTGAAATTCTTGAGCTGAATCAATAGGCTTAGATTTAAGTCCCTCAATAAGCAACATAGTGTGCAAACATAATTATTATTGTTTTAGGAAAAATTCCTTAATTCTTTAATATTTAATCACTGACATTTATTGATGCCATTTATATACATCCGACATAGTTCTATAAGGTTACTTAAATGCATAATCTTTTGTTATTTTTGAAAATGGAAAATGAAAACTTCTTACTTGCTTTTTTGTTATTTTAGTGTTTTTGCTGTATTCTTAGAAAATAGATTCCTAACTCAGCTTAAGCTAGTATGTAGCATTGGAAAGGGCATACTAAAATCACGCGCCATCTAGCTCAATTGAGTCCTTTGTGCATTCTCCCTTTATACACTGCTTATATCAATCATCCTAAGAATTTATAGGAGGCCAGGATGTAGCTCAGAGGTACGCCTCTCATTCTGATAGTCTTTGAAGATCTTAATTCTTCACAGATGGATAGTGAAATGGTTTTTCGTCATTCTGGAAACTTTATTTAACTTTGACATCCTTTGTTTGACAGTTAATCAGCAAATATGCATAAATAAGTTTTGTGTTCTCACTCTTTTGGAGCAGAGACATTTTTTCAATTCATCAACTTTCTCAGATAAAGCTGGGCGTTGTAGATACGAGGTAGACGATTATAACAAGCTCATTCTTGATGGAGTTTATGCATGGTTTATGCATTTCAGTTTTAATTAATTTTTCCAGCAGCCCAACTCTGACGACGAAAACACTACTAGAATTCAATGAGTCTTTTTACCCTAATCTCATTTCTTTTGCCCGAAAGGCTGAAGTCGGGAACACCTCTCAGAGAGTACAAAGTATTTGAATTATTTCATTTTGGTTGGTTCCTTTTTGCACAATACATTTGATTAATAGTGCTATTAGAAGTAAGTAATAATAGAACTATAATAGAAAGGCAGACACATTAATTCGCGTAGCATAGATGTTGCACACTACATATACAGGGTGTCACACAAAAAACGCCCCAAGCTGTAACTCTGTCATTTATATTCTGATCTTCATGAGCGAAGTATCAAATGAAATTTTTTGATGAATGCTATGATTCATGCTACAAATAAATTTTTTCCAAGGCCATCTTCAATTTCAGGCGATTATTAACTTTTGTTTTTCAAATTGCTCCATATATTTTTCTTCACGCCATTGGATAGAGATTCTTTTTCTAAATCCAATGATATACAACACATCCATTTTGAATGTAATTTTAGCAGAGAAAAGACACCTGTATATACGGGTTGTCACACAATAACGCCGCAAGCTGTAACTCTGTCATTTACTATCCGATCTTCATGAACGAGGTATCAAATGAAATGGTTTGATGAATGCTACGAGTCATGCTACAAATAAACTTTTTCCAATGACCTCTTCAATTTTAAGCGATTATCAACTTTTGATTTTCAAATTACGCGGTATTACGCGGTGCCATGGAAAAAATAACTCGCAAAACTGATAACAGTCATTAAATGTTATGTTATATCAATGCCCGAAGCAGTTGTAAATGATACTTATAAGTTGTTTTTTTATTTATTCCATGGCACACTACAGTATAACACAAGTAACTTTAAGAGAATGTTAGGAAACTATTTCAATGTTTTTCTGTGCTACAATTACAATTAATGTTGATGTGTTGTACATTAAAGGATTCAGAAAAAAATCTATCCAATAGCGTGAAGAAAAACATACCGCGCAATTTGAAAATCTAAAGTTGATAATCGTTTGAAATTGAAGAGGGCGTTGGAAAAAGTTTATTTGTACCATGAATCATAATAATCATCAAACCTTTTCAATTGATATTTCGCTCATGAAAATCGGAATGTAAATGACAGAGTTACAGCTTGCGGCATTTTTGTGTGACAATCTGTATATACAGGTGTCTTTTTTCTGCTAAAATTACATTTAAAATGGATATATTGTACATCAATGGATTCAGGAAAACAATCTCTATCCAATGACGTGAAGAAAAATATACGTGCAAATATACGTAAAACAAAAGTGAATAATTGTTTGAAATTGAAGATGGCGTTGGAAAAAATTTATTTGTAGCATGAATCATAGTATTCATCAAACCATTTCGTTTGATGCCTCGCTTATGAAAATCGGAATGTAAATAACAGAATTACAGGTTGGGGCGTTTTTTGTGTGACACCCTGTATTATTTGTAAACGTCACAGCTGCTAAAATGTTCTAAATAAAACAACTTCTACATTTTTCTTGCATTCTAAATATAATTTACACTTAATATCTGCAGATCAACCCAAAATAAAGACTCCCATTATCCTGATGCTTCGTTTGTAGATATGTCAATAAACTTCTTCCAATTTCTCATGCTACGAAAACTGGTTCAAACTAAGAGAAATTTTTTTTTACATGTTCACAGAAACCAGACTTCAATTATTAGTGTGTTCAGTTTTAAATTTTCTAATTTTCGTTCCATATTCATGCAAATAAATAGTACAAAAAATGTTGCTGTTCAAAATTGGGGTTTTAATGGAAACGTCGAAATTTTGCACGTAATACAATGGAGTGAGAGTAATTCGAAATGGAACCGTTCACGTTTCACTACATAAAATTAATTTCACCAAATAACTAGAATAGTAGAACGTAGAAATATCTTTATTTCATCAAATTCATTGAATCTAATAAAAAGAGATTACTATATATTACATAGATTATTTACTTCGTAATACATGACCGATATTTTTTTTTTGCTTTGTTTTCGAAACAAAACAACAAAGCCCTTTAAATCAGGGCTTCGGGAATGCGAGAACATTGTAAAATACGAGATCCCATTTTCTCATTAAGTTCAGCATTGTTGGAGCCAGAACACGAGGCCCTGAAACATTTACATGCTAATGGGATTTTGTTTATTGCCATTAATCCAATTATAAGCACGTCGGGCTTCGACTCCTGACATCATAATGTTTTTAGGAAAGATTTCTTTCCTAACTATTTTTTATTGAATCACAACGAGTTAAATAAATACAAGAAAAATCACAATAAAAACCCTATGCTTTGTACGACAAACATCGTTGACCCATTTTAACTTGAGCCGTCGATTGCTCGATTTTATTTGCCGTGTAAACATATCGATTAACTCGGTTAATAAAACCTGGAAAATATTTGAACCCGAATTAACGAAATCCGAATTATAAAACGTAAAATTCTTAGAATTAACTTCTTTAGGTGATCGTTGAAGAAAGGTTCCTACTTCAGTTCCATTTTACCGAGTGGCACTCTCACAATTGTCCCTTTCCAAACGCTCTACTCGAATTTCGAAGGAGGGTAAGAGCCGTTGTAGGGCATAGAATAAAAAGCAACGAAGCCGGACCCATGATTGTTCATTGCAAGTAAGTTTTAACAAAAACTTTTAAAAGCAATCGTTGAATTTAAATTATAATTTAGCGACGGTGGAGGAAGGTCTGGAGTTTATTTAGCGATTGATGCCAATATGGAATTAGGGGAAGAAGAAGATTGTTTCGACGTGTTTGGGTATTTAAAGAAATTAAGACAAGCAAGGAGGGGTTTGGTGGAAAATGTGGACCAATACAAATTTATTTATGACACATTGGAAGAGTATATAACATGCGGAAATTCTTGGTTTCCCGTTAACGAATTGTCGCAGAGATTAAAAGCAAAGAGCCAAAAGAATCCCTTGAGTAAACTTAACGAGTACCAAAGAGAATATACTTTAATTTGTAAGCAAACTCCAAGATTTACAATAGGTGATTGTGCGGGAGGGCATAGAGGAGATAATCGAAAGAAAAACAGAGATGTCCTAATTGTTCCACGTAAATAATCAATTACATTACTTTATTAGTATTTGTTGCTAATAAATATTTCTCTTTTTTAGCTGATAATTTTAGACCTTATCTCACTTCGTTTCAAGGGAATAATTACACCGATTACATAAACGCAGTTTTTGTTGATGTATTTTATTAATTTCACCAATTTTACTTTTAGTAATAAAAAATGTTTTAGGGATACACAAAACCTAGAGAATACATAGTAACAGAATGGCCCATGAAAATGACTTGCGGCGAATTTTGGTCTTTAGTGTACGATTATGAATGCGCCGCAATCGTAATATTATGCGTTCCACCCCATAATTCAGTTAGTTTTTCCCAATTTTTTTTATCACAACTAATATTACTGTTTTTAGCAAAACTTCCCTCCCTTTTGGCCAGAAGGAAGAACTCCTAAAAAATACGGCCCCGTATTTACTATCGATCACATCTCACACAACCACTACTCGAATATAAAGACTTGGGTATTCCGGATAAACAAAAAGGTAAAGGGTTTTATAAAAGGTGAAAAACACGGTTTGTGGGTTTTATCTATTGCAACGAAACGCTGCACTCCGGAGTATTCTGGCGAGTTTTGATACGAACCGCGTACACAAAAATAAAATGAAGATAAATAAAACGGAAAATGGGTTAGGTAAAAGGTAGAAAACGAACGTGAGAGGCGATATGAGCGCTTCGCTGACTCTGCCGTACACGAAATATGAAAGTTTGAAAAGTTTGGAGTTCTAGTTCAGGATGATAAGTGAATTTTGTTGGTCGTAGCCGGGGATATGGCGAAACTTTTCAATTAACAAAGTGGTAATTGCGGCAGAATATCGTTCTAATTGCGGTATACAGGATACTAAATAACTCACTCGTGATAAAATTTACTCTTTTACAATTTTCATTTAGAATTTTTTTGTCATTATTAAAAAAAAATTTAATCGAAAACTTTTGGATTATAAGAACACCGCCGAGAATATAATTCCCTTCAAGTTTAATGAAACCTTTCATTTTCTTTGTTCTTTCTTTCTCCTTTTTTATTATTTCTAACGAGGGTATAAGGCCTTCATAGTAACGAGCGGGCACGTTTGTTCGCTTACATTTTAATCGAAGGTCGCTTATTTTTCGCAAGAACGAACGCGTCGATCCAATATGGAATAAATCGGTTGGAAATCCTATAACGTTCTCTTTCCGTCCTTTTCAGATTGTATCCTTGACTGAACTGATGGCTGGTGTAAAAGCACCACCGAAGACTGTTCAACTTTTCCAGTTGACATGCTGGCCCATGGGACATAAAGTACCTACATCAACAAATTCTTTAGTTGAATTAATGAATATGGTTGAGCGATGGAGACAACGTACTGATTATGGACCAGTTTGTGTTGTTTCACAGTATGTAAAAAAAGTTTAAGTTTAAGGTGTTAAAAGATAAAAAGAATTTGCTACAACAAAGATTCTTGGAAATATAATTCATTATTAAAGCCAATTTAGATTTCCTTTCATGGAAACTTATTCAGGTTCAGGAAAGTATCATGTAACAAGGTAATATTTAATGAAGGGAGTTTTACTCGCGAACTTGGGAGATGAGGGGTAAAATCGATATAATGTTTAATGATCTGAAAAGAATCATTTTTAATACTCAAATGCTTAATTATCTTTAATCTACTACATATTTTATTATATTTGATTAATTTATTTTATGTTGATTGGAATTGCATCTATTAATCTTGAATTATTTTTTAGAGATGGAAGAGGTAGGTGTGGCATATATTGTGCAGCCAACGCCTGCATCGAGCAGGTGATTCAACACGGAGAAGTGGATATTTTCCAAGCAGTTCGTACAGTTAGAAGACATCGTCCACAACTTATCGAAAATATTGTAGGTTATCACAGTTTCTCATTCAAAGATGGCACTAATTTTTCACTCGTTTTCAGACTGAATACAAATACTGTTACGATCTAGTTTTACATTACGTCCTTCACTATCTGAACAAAGAGATTAGTGAAAAGCAAAAGTCTTAAGTCGAAAATAATTAAAAGCTGACTATACTTTAGAGTGTAAGCAACAAGAAAAATCGCCATTTAGCCTTTTTACTACTACTATTGAGGATACACTTAAAACTTATTAAGTACCTACATACACGTATTATAGGAAAAGTGGGAATCTTCCTTGTAAAATTATATACTTTGTACGTATTTATATACATATGGATGTTAATACGAAATCTATATATTTTCGTCTGTTTTTCTCTACTATATTTTTGTTATATTGCATTGTTCTTTACTATGAGTCATCGCATCTGTCCACAAAGATAAATCGTCTATACGCATACTGTTATTTAATAAAATGTAAATGAAATTTTCTTTGTGTCATTTATCCTTTCTGTCGTTAAGGCTTAATTTACATATTATTTGAAAAGAGGAGACATTTTGAAACTTGAAATATAACTTCTCTAACCCTCAACAATTTTCTTTTAAAGTGCGTTATATCATAAATTATTTCACGATTTTAATTACAAAGTAGCGAAATTGAATCATTATTAGTGTTTAAAAAATATATTTTATAATTGGTGCTCAGAAGCATATTTAGTGTGTCATTAAAGGTAAGTCCTCACCAAAGGAACATTTTGTTCCTGATTGTCGTAACCTGTTTAATACTTTTAATGTAATTTAAAGAAATGTATAAGAAACGCCAGGAACATATCAGAAAGAACAATAATTATGACCGCAACGATTGTTAACTCCCTGTAAAGAAGTAGATAACACAGCTTGTGGCCATTCAACGCATCTATCAAAGGTAGCAAAAAAAATTCATAAGGAAAAATGTAAAGTAATATGAAACTCCGGAAAATAGTTAGTCCGGATATAAAACATAACGAGCGCGAACATCAAAGAATTCTGTGAATCTTTCTCCAAGTCTCGTTGTATTCTTAAATGTTAATCACTGTCGCTGACGGAGAATATTTTTATATCTAAACAAAGCTACTGCTTTTAAACGTTATTTAGAAACAAAAAAAGATTACTGTTGTAATTGATACTTACTCTTTCTACTAAATAAAATCAATTGAACTTATAAGAGATAATATGATGGCACAATTTGGAACAAATTAACTTTATCACAATGTAGTTACTAAAAACATCTCTAGAAAATTAAATTATAATTTCGTATAAATTGAAATAGCTTAGTATTTTAATTATTTTTATTGATTTTATTGACATCAAAAAATTAAATTTTACATTACTATATACCTATCAAATCTATCTGTGATATATCTATCTTGTATATATCGTTAGCATTTTTGTACTGTGTTAGTCCAGTTTTAATAAAAATTCTAAATTTGTTTAAAAATTTGATCATTGTTAATTAACTTTTAGATATGATACCTCTTATTCTTTACCTTATACAATAAAAAAAGTTACTGGATGCTGCTAACATATAATTTTTGATTATATTTTTTTTAGTACTCTCTAATACACCTCTTTCTTATCACCTATTGGTTCCTTCAACAATCATTTTATTTCGTTATATACAAAAATTTGTACACTGTTTGAAGTATATTTTATTACAACAAATAAGAAAACAACACAATTTTAGGTAAAAAAATAAAAAACTTGTTTGTCTGCAATCACAAAACTTAAAAAGCAAGGATAAAATGGAACTAAAAAGTTAATCTTTATTAACATTTTTCATATTAACATCGTCTTGTACAAATTACTTCACGATTAATCTCCCACTGGAATGTTTCCATATTTTTCCTTAACGTCGTCATATAGTTTTATTTTTACGATAATATTTTAATATGTATGATAGAGAAAGAACGTTGTATATAAAATATATGACAGAAAACTAACAGTACTTATCCGTATTGTTTTAATTAAATATACATTTCCTTAAAGCTTGGTTCCATTAGTTGTGGAGAGACAGATAAAACCGAAATGTTACTTTTTTTCTTCATTTTTGTTAAGTTATGTTCAAATAGGATAAATACATTCACATATTCAATCTGCCCTCGTGAGCTTTCTTGACAATTGCTAATTTCGAGTGAGGATCTGATACAGGTAACTCTGTATAAGGTGGTTTTTTAGTTCCATGTAACATCAAAGACCATTCTTTAACAAATCCCGTTTGAGGTGATGTTGAATTAAAGCTTGCCTAAAAATCAATAAAATTTCCATTTAACGTAAAATAAATATTGAAATAACCTTTAATTAACCTCCAACGTCCATATTCCTTGTGGATATTCACCCCAAGTGTGAGTAGTCATAAATGGCCATTTTGTAAATCCATCTCTAGTGTCGTCGTCGTTATTTCTCTTACTTAAAATCATCGATCTCGTTCCCATTGGTGACGTCAAAAATAGTTCTAAATCACCCCGTCGACTTGCGTTAACGGTTAAAACGGCTTGAACATGTTCTAAATATCTCACTTCTGTGTTTTTATTCATACAAGCGTTTGTATCGATTTTAAGGACTAAAGCTTTATCTGAAGGAATTTCACTGCAAAGTTTGTTTTTACTTAAAAGTTACAGAAAATAAATTAAAGGTAATACTATAAATCATTAACACTTCCTGCTTCACAATGGAACCTTGGTGGTACAGTTTTCCATTGCTTCGACAAAGCTACCATTGCTCCAGCATCTAAAACTCCAAACCCGAATAAGTGGTTAAATTCTAATCCGACTCCGTTCATGGTCCAATGAAAACGCCCTTTTGCGTCAAATAAAGAGTTACGTTTCGATGTTAAAACGGTTAAATGTTGAATATCTCGCCACGTTAAGTTATTGCTGAAAGAATACATTATGTTTTTATTTTAGGTTTATGTGACCCGTCCTTTTAAGACCTGTATATTTTAAAAGCTATCAAAGCGGTATTTATTTTATATGGATACAAAAATATATATTCATGACTGTTTTACGACTCAAATCGACAGATCGTAAATATTGATATGAATAAGGGTTGAAGCGCGGAAAATTCTTTTATTACATCAAAAATAAAAGCTTTATTTTATTATAACTTACTTTGCTTCTAAAGCTAAAGCAAAAACTCCGGCAGCTTCAGGAGCAGCCGCAGATGTTCCCGAATGAGTTGTAGTACATTTTCCATATAAATCTGTAGTAGCCTATTAAAAAAATACAAATGAGAATTTAAAAAAAAACAACCTATAGGATTATATAAGATTACCACTCCAGTATTTGGATCTTTAGCTCCGTTACTAAACGTTGAAGCAAGAGTAGATGAACAACTTTCATCGTAATGTGCATTTTGGCCATCATTTATAGCACTATTAATACTTATGGTCCACATACTCGCCGCATAACCATCACAATTACAATCGTCATCTTCGCCACCATCCCCACTCGCCCAAACGTAAATATTTCCCAAGCCGTTTCGACCCTAACGAATATGAAAACAAAGAGAAACAAGGGTGAAGTTTAAGGTTATCCAGTTTAAAATAATGCCTTCCTTTCCATAAAATAAACGACTTCTCGTCTGATAAATTAAACGGTAGGTTTCCCTTAACCTCTAAAATTAATTCGTCCGGGACAAGAACAAATACGAACCTCGTTTACTCCTCTAACAATGGCTCGCATTGTAGCATTTCTCGGTCCATCTACGGTTTTTCCATCGTCTGTTGGTCCCCAAGAAGCACTATAAATATCGATTAGATTAGGTTCGTGTCCCATGGAATTCGCCTCGATTAAATCGGTCATATACGGTTGATCCAACATTCTGATTCCAGCGATTTTCGAATCGTACGCCACTCCAACACCGCAAATTCCATTATCTCTAGCTGCGGCTACTTCCCCAGCACATCTTGTACCATGACTGATTTCAAAATTATTTATAAAAAAATTTTATCGAAACTCTAAAAAAAAAACTGCGTTTACCTATTAAACCAATCATCTGTAAACCTGGGATACGGGAATGGGTCATTGCTGCTAAAATCGTAACTTGCTTTAGCGTTCTGTAAAAAAAAACGGAAGTTTTCAAAAATAGAACTAAAAATTTTATTTTTTGCAGGTTGTGTCACTGAATGAAATGGAACTGAGTTAGAAAGAACTTTAATTTTTTATTCATCTCGACAAATAGCGGCTAAAATGGTATGGGAAGTAGGATCAGCTTTGAACGAAATTGGATTTTCAGTTTTATGTCCAGTAAAGCTCAAAGCGCCCGTTAAACGATTTCAAATCGTACCGTAAAAGTTTGGATACATTCGTGATATTACTTCTTTTATAGAGGATGTTTTATAATTACTCGGTGTTAACTCAGGGATGCGTTCGCCAACACGGTGTAACGAAAAATTGATAGTAAAGCAGTCAATAATTTTATATTCATATTCGTTACATTATACTCCAATAAGAAAAAGAAATTCTGAATAATCATTTCGCGATATCAACGAATCTTTCAGAGACACTCAATGAAATCCAATATAGGAGATGATCAAAGCTGGTTATACAAGTTTCAAGGATTGAGAAAATCAGGATTTCAAAGATCATATTATACCGTTCAAAGGAAGACACAGGCTAAAAAACTATATACAAAGGGGCTACAAAGAGATTGTATGTACAGGGTGTCCCAATTTCGATGTCCGCATAGGCCATCTCCGAAACTAAAAGAGATTGATAAAAAGTAGCTTACATGTCATGATCTCGTTTTTCGAGAAAATGATAATGCCGAAAACTCCGAACAGCTATCGTCTTTTCTTTTCGCCCTATCGCCAACAACTAAAAATTTTGCAAAAACGACAATCGCAATTATCTCACTAATTTTTTTCCCATCTTTTATTTTCGAGATTTTAGACGTAACTTTATTTTTTTAAATGGAAGCCATAGTTGGCTTATTATTTTCTTCTGATAACAAATATATATAGTTTGTGGGGTATATTTCTTATAGTTATTGAATAATTAACAAAAATTCATTTTGTTCCATCTAAATCTAAGGCACGCAACTTTTGTAACAAAAGGATACGATTTCCCCCCTCCACTTGTTCTCAGTGGCTTCCTAGAAAACAAACCCAGAAAACTAGCCAATGAGAACAAGTGGAGGGGGGAAATCGTATCGTTTTGTTACAAAAGTTTCGTGCCCTAGTGATAACCATACATACTATGATGGAATATAATGTATCAATTTTTTTTGTTCTTTCTAAAACTATTGTATGTATTTAAAACTTAATGTTGTTATGGTGATAACCATACCATGAGGGAAAGCATTGTTTCCAATTATTGCCAAAGTTTGTAGCAAGGACAGTAGAATCTAACAGGACTGCTACATCCATTGTATTTTTGTAGTCGACTACGGGTTGGTTGCCCGCACTCTACGTCACACTATTTGCCACGCCTGGTAACTGTCTATGTTTTTAGAGGTTATATGATAGACATTAATACGTCTAAAAACATAAAACTTCAAAACTAATATGAATACGTCTAGGATATAACCTCTAAAAACACACAGCAAACGCATAGACCATAACAACAGCTGGGCGTGGAAAATGGTGTGACGTAGTTTGCGGGTAGGCTGTCACAACAATGGATGTAGCAGTCCTGTTAGATTCTACTGTCCTTGAGTTTGTAGTAGTATTTAAAAATTCACTAACAACTCTGGCATTATGTGCTGGTGCTCCGTCATATTGAAAATATATCATTTGAGACATATTTAGTGGCAAATTGTCGACCAAAGGCTCAATGTGCTGCCTTAATATATTGAGGTATTTCCCTGAGTTTAAGTTTTTATGGTAGATACTATATGCCAAAATTCTATTATCTAAAAGGGCACACCATACATTGAACCCCAATCTTCTTTGAACACTCAGAGACTTCATCGGTCCAGATAACATTTTGAACAAACAGCAGATTATTTAATTTTTTTAAATATCATCTACAAAATTCTAATCTTCGATTGACATCTCCGGCACGTAAATAATGAGTTAGCCCCGCTTTGTATGGTTTATACTTATTTTTCTTTCATATTCGGGAGCAGCGGCTTTTGGGTCAGACGTCTTGTTGCAATTTCTCTTGCAGGTCATTTTGGTATGTTTTTGTATGTGGTTTGGGGAAGGACCAAATATCTATTAAATTTTCTGCTAACCGGCTGAAGGTTCTTACGTGCGGTTGTCTTCTTTCTGGATATCTTGTGAAATAAAATTCCGCGGCTAACGTCGCATTCTTATCTGATAACATATAGCATTCCATCATGTTACATTTTTCATAATTTTCGAAATTCATTGTAAAGTTTTATTCAGTTTTGTTATACTTTGACACTTAACATGCTGGTGCATCGTACCAGCACATAATGCCAGAGTTGTTATCGAATTTTTAAATACAAACTTTGGCAATTATTTGATACATTATGTTCCATCATAGTATGTATGGTTATCACCATAGCAACATTAACTTTTAAATACATACATTAGTTTTAGATAGAACAAAATGAATTTTTGTTAATTATTCAATAACTATAAGAAATATACCCCACAAACTATATATATTTGTTATCAGAAGAAAATAACAAATTATTTTAGGCCATTGCCAACTATGGTTTCCATTTAAAAAAATAAAGTTACGTCTAAAATCTCGAAAATAAGAGATGGGAAAAAAATTCTACCTACGCCACTGAATTCTTCGTAAAAAGTTGCCCAGATAATGTTTTATTTATAATACTCCATCTTTGATAATAAGTGAGATATTCGCGATTGTCATTTTTGCAAAATTTTCAGTTTTTGACGATATGGCGAAAACAAAAGACGATAGCTGTTCGGAGTTTTCGGCATTAGCATTTTCTCGAAAAACGAGATCATGACATGTAAGCTACTTTTTTGCTATCTCTTTTAGTTTCGGAGATAGCCTATGCGGACATCGAAATTGGGACACCCTGTACAGGATACCAACAAACCAAAGGATGAAATAAAGAAATGTTACAACCACCTCCAGGATGTAATAGAAAGTATCTCGAAACAACATCAATTCGTACTGATGGGGGATTTCAACGCCAAGATCAGAAATAATGCTATCGATAAGTTAAACCCTATTAAGAGGAAAAAGAAGAAGAAAAAAGGTATATCAAAGGAATAATAAAAGTTGTAATGTTTGTCATATTGTAAATGTGTAAATTACTTAGTTGTTAGTTTGAAGGAGTTCCGGCAAAAAGTCCAATTCAGTGATATTCCAAAAACTGATGATGCAAACTTAAAACAAAGCGTTCTCTGATAATACTCAAAATCTCAAAAATAAAATCTTTTGAAAACTCAAAGATACTAAAAAAAGAAAAACAACATTCAGGTAAATTCTATGCGAGATTATCAACTTTATTCATTCCAATTTTCTCGGACGTAATCTCTCTAAAGTCAATTCGTATTTGAATAAAAATTTTCAGGGCATAAATCTAGTTTACGTCACGTCATATCAAGATGTATACACAAAGCCGGTAAAACTTGGATTATATGTCCGATTTCTTTTTCACCATATGCACACTTGACACGGCAAAAAATCACATTCAACATGAAACACGAAATTTAATTCTTCATAATAATATGGAAAATTTTAGTTGTTTATTTAAAAATTTGTTACTGTTAATAAAATTGGATTATTAATTCTACAGTCGTCATAATTAAAATCGCGTATTTTCTTTTAAACATAAAGTTATTCAGTACACGTGTTGGAACGTGCTGGAAATTTGAACAATATTACGAATTCAGGCCGACCTAATAAAATTTCTACAGTTTTAAACAAAGGCGTTTGTGTCAATTTTTCACGGATCGCTTCCCGCACAGGTTTTATGTAATAAAACAGTTCTCCGATAATGCTACCCGAAGGTAAAATTTCTTGTGCCACGTGCGCAACTGTGAATCGATTTCTCAAACTTATCTTGAAGTCGTAAATTCTATAGATTTATTTTCTAAGAATATAAAATAATCTCTTTAAAATCATGAAAGCAATTTAAACAAAGATCTAGTTAAAAAAACTTTTTTTTGACTTACGTAATTATATTTTAAATCTGGATGCATGTAGTCGACACCTGAAAAAAGAAAATTAAAAGTAAATGTTAACTTGCGGGTATAAAATCAATACGAAAATAAAGTTGTAGGTGATTGACCTGTCAATACACAATAAATTTACGTAACATTATATCGTTTCAAGCCATTTCAGTAGAATTTCATTTTAATTACTTCAACACCATCTCCCACATTTCTAGATAATTTTCACCTAATGCTTTGGCATGGTGTAGCATTATCTCTATTATAAACCCAACGGAGAACTCCGAAGGGAAATATTAAATTATATTCACGCCATCAGCCTTGGTTAGAGAAAGAGGTGATGAATATTGCATAAGAGCTTTTACATTATTCAATGTGGAACGTTCAATACCAAACCAAATTTTAATTTTAATCAGTAAGACCTTTCAAATCACTCCCAAAACTATTCAGATTTATTCGCAAATCGAAATTACCCAGTTAACACAACATAAACTTGATCCGGTAAACTTTGCATACAGTATAAAAGCTCAATATTGACCAGGTCAGGTCATATGAGAAATTTGGTAAATGTTTAACGTTATTATGAAACAACTTCACTGCGAACATGAATTTAAACAGTTTCAACACATCCCCAATCGTACGACTTCTTCCTAGAACTTCCGTAAACGGTTCAAACCTGGTTATCTCGACCAATTAACGATCGAAACGCTTTTCGAAAGACCCCTTCAACCTGGCTTATTGTCCCGAAGGCAGTCGCACTTGGATTTCATTGCAAAATCAATATCCAGAGGTTCACCTACTATCCCTTAAATTGCCAACCAAGTTTCTGGTAAAAATAGAATCCAATTTCTCGTCCCGTCTTGCTAATCCATTATAAAGGGTCCTGAATTATTAATCTTTAATACAGTCTTGACAGATATATAAGACGTAAACATTTCTTGATGAAACGTACTTCGTTTTTTTAATTTAAAGTTCGTATTTAATGATTAGCTAGTCAATTTCAAATGGAATAAGTAAAAAAAAATACTTAGATAATTTAAATTAGATACAACAAATAGATAAGTGGTATGACCTTGACAAAGATTTCCAATGATAATAAAGTTCGAAATTGAGCTTGCTTAACACCAAGATTGGATTCGTTTCAAATCAAGCTGTGTTTACTTGAATTTGTCTGAATCGTGACAAACAGATTAAGTAATTCTAGTCGTTGGATACCCATAAAAAGATGTACCAATCGAAACGGTCGTCATCCATCGATCAACCTTAATAGAGGAAGAAAGAAACGGTTCGCCAAAGGAATGATTTCCGCAATTGCTTGAAGATGGTTGCAAAGGAGGAAATCATCTGCGAAGTGCAAGAAACTAGTCGCAGAATGAGTGGAGTGTATATATGGCAAGAGTGCTTACCGCCAAAATCTAATCTCATTATTAATGAGACAAGGACATTGCAGACGATTAGAGAAAAAAACAGACATTCTACCAAGACAAATTGATATCATGGTACGATTCGGAACGCTCTTCCGATAGTCTATTTTAGATTATGTATATGGTAACCAATTTATCGATTGATTTATGTCCTTTTAATGTTTTTGATGTAAATATTGCTGATCACTTTGCTGGCTCGTTGGTGTTCAATTATACTGACAGTTTTGTTTCTCCAGTGGGTGTTGAATCACGAGGAATTGGCTGTTAGGAAACTGAGTAATTACAAAAATTCGTTATTAAATATGTAACTTAAACCGTGCTACTCTGCTATTTTCTGCAATATATTAGTGTGGGGTGCTGCGACTGAGTGGTTATGGCACAGAAACGCGTCATTAGATTATTGTTCGATTTAAATGGCAGGGAATCATGAAGAGAAGCTTTCAGGAATCATTCGATACTCACTTTGCCATGCATCTAGTTATTAAAGGCTTTAGTTTATAAAGACTAATATAAGCCGTTTTGTAATTTCTTCTCAGAAATATGATCCCCGTGGAGGAGATAATCTGGTTCTCTCTCGACATGTCATCTCCACAGTTGAAAGAAGTCCCTTTTGTGACATCCCAAGAATTTACAATAGATTACCCCGGTCGATTAGATCTTAGGAGTGCCCCAAAAACTTTAAACAAGTTGTAAAACGGTACCTCTTAGACGGGAATTTTTAGATAGGTAGTGATTTTTATTAGTTATAACGTATTATATAATTCTCATCTACTTATGTAGCCCACGTGATTGAATAAATATTCAATTCTATTCTAAAGACAAAGTAATAAGCAGTTGTGGGAAGTATTGCGTTGGTCAAACTGGACATAAGAGAGATTTCCGACTGAATAAGATCCAGCAGTTGCAGAGCATAGAGGTCACATAGAGGGACACACGATAAACTTCGATAAGTCCAAAGTCCTAGCTAGAGCCACAAATTACTATCAAACGATTATAAGAGAATCCATAAAGATCCATAAGCATAGGAACAACATAAATAGATGGGAACTTAGTTGAATTAATAAAGATGTTGGTAACATGGTGTAAGAAATAGTAGAAGAAGTTACACACTCAAAAGAGTAATAAGTGGGGACCACTGTTTTATAGATACAATAACTTACCAAGTTAGTTTTTAATAGCTGATACTATCAGTAATTTTTTTGTTAGCTTGATAAGATGATTATCTTCTATTTTTTCGCTAAGAACAAAATAATTATTCTATTTTGTAAGAATTTAGTCGATTTTTAGTACAAATCACTCAGTTGAAGCAGTTATTCAAATGGAATTAAACCTCAACATGTTGATTATGTTCTATATTACTTTACCAGTTTATTTCAGTGTATGTTTGAACCCATTTCGCCAATTTCAACCGCATTTCAACCGTGAATGAAGCTCTCGTCCAACATTCGAGTTATTAAGCATTCATACTCTTCGATGACTGTCAAAATTGTCGTGTAAATTCTGGATTAATTGTGGTTTGGAGGGAACATCCCAACAATAGAAGCGAATAATTACGAATCAATCTAATTAGTGAAGTAGTTAAATCGCTTTTTATTATAAAGCATTAAATTTTGTTGTAGATAAAATATTTGCATATTTAAAAATATGTTAATTAAACAACCGAGTATGAATTTAAAATTTGTTCATTTCCATATTTAAATTGTTATAAAACTCGAAGAGAGTTTTAAAACTATTTGAACAAGCTTCGATTATAATAAATTAACATTTCAAAATACGAATCATTTTAATTTTTTTTTAGTCGTTTAAATATTACGGTATACAGCAATAAAGTTCAAGCCATTTACTGATAACCTATCGGCTGTAGCAGTAATGAAGCAATTACCAGAAATCGATTGGTATGTGAACTGTTAAGTAATCGTGTATTACAAGCTAAATCGAAATCCTGAAATTTTATTTCATAAAACACAATTTACGTGCCAACCATGTTTTCAACATGAACTTACAATTTACCACCTACGCATAATACAAACACAATGTAACGAGAGTTAGACGCAACGTGGGCGTTAAATTCAACTTGAACGTCTCATTTAAAATATACACCGTGAAATACACAAGTTTTATATTAACAATATAAAATGGCTAATATGTAAAGAAAAAAGTTAAATTGTAACAAGTGATTAAAAAATGTTCTTACCATCATCCATAATAGCCGTTGTAATATTCTTTCCAGTCACTCCTTGTGCCCACGCCGCTTCGACATTTAAATCCAACTTAGCTTTCCCCCCATTTTGTCCTGTATTTTTCAAATACCACTGGAATCCAAAGTATGGATCTGACGGGTCTTGATGTGGTAAAATATCCTTCACCAGGTTCTCCACCTTCAAAGGCTTATAACCTCTTTTCACACGTAAGAAACCCGCCTGTTGGACAGCCACGTGAACCTTCGCACAGAAATGGATTCACTTGGAAATGGTATTTGCGGAAGATATGGAAATGACGTATATTTTTAGACCCCCGTTCGAATATGTTTTACATAATCATGTTTACACCCGCGCTGGATCCGTCAAAAAAATTTCAAATTGAAATTGAATTTATAGATTATACAAACTCAAATTGAACAAAGAAATTTTAATCGATAAAATTCTTAAAAAAGTAAGTTGACGTTAATCTGAGTTGTCTCAGATCTTTAAAGCACAGGATAATAGGAAAAAATCCGGTAGATAATCCTTCTTTACTTACCAATGGATCAACTTTAAGTTTTCTCATGTGAGGTATACTTCGTTTCGTTCTTGCAACGGGAATTGCGTGATTGACAAAGTGGTAATCTTTCTTAGATCCTAAAACCTGAAATAAAAAAGACTAAGTAGGAAACAAGCCTTAAATCACTGGTTTTCGAGCAGATAAATTACATTCTGGTTCGTTCGGGCCGAGTTAGCAAAAAAAAGGAAGGGTGAGCCGATTTTCTCATTCTATTTTCAGTCGGACTTAAATCGTTGCTAATCCGACACGGAATTCGTGATGTTCGAAAATTGGGTGTCACAAAATCGATACCCTCTGCACGAGTTTCAGACGTGCTGCTGATCCAAATTTGTAAAGAAGTTTTTAATTAAACTCAAATGTGTCTTCAGAATCAATTTTAACCCCCTTTTAATTAGATTCTAACAACAACAAAATGAACGAAGAAAAATAAAATAATGAGTAAATAAAAACAAGTTCTAAATTTAAATAAAACTGTCCCAGCATTGAATCTTATGGGACTTTATCTCAAATGTCTACAAAGCACACACTTCAGTTGCGTCATAAATTAGTTTATGGTCCAATTCAGTTCTCCCCGCTCAATGGGGAATTATGGGACACGGGATGTGAAGCTGAAATGCGGATGAATTATGATCGCTGTATCACGAAACCATTTAAACATTACGTGAACGTAGAAGGGGCTATAATTAAATTCAATTCTTAGAGAAAAATACGAACGATAATGCAATTAATTCGGTTTGTTACGATAGCGGTAATAAAAGTTTCTTGTTTACCCTTTTCTCTGCGAATAAATATACCATTTCAGTAAGTGATTAAAGCTTGTTCTTGCGACAACCACCATTTGTCACTTGCATTTACGAGGAAATTTATTTTCCTTAAAGGGGTATTAAACTTTTTTTATTCTTTCATTGTTTTTGTAAATAAATCACAGTTGACTGATTCATTTTTTGGTAACAATTTTGTTCTGAAAATATCTTCTTATGTATAATACTACAGTAAGATGCAATATACTAAAATATATTTCCATAGAAACTAGGGCGTACCTACTTACTTACTTTAACGCTTTACGTTAACTAGACTAACGCTAGCCCTAGAAACATTCCGTTTAGCCATACCTCTCTTAAGACGGCTAAACCCGAATGATTCTAGTGCTAAGTCTTGTGTTAGTTCTAGTGAGAGTGCTAGTGTAATACTGGAATTAACACTAGACCAAGAACTAGAAACATTCGGGTTTAACCGCACGTCTCTAAAGAGGGCTAAACGCGAATGATTCTAGTTCTAAGTCTTGTGTTAGTTGTAGTGACAGAACTAGTGCAAAACTAGAACTAACACTAGACCAAGATATAGAATCATTTGAGTTTAGCTGCACGTCTCTTAAGACGGCTGAACCTGAATGATTCTAGTTGTAGGTCTTGTGTTAGTTTTAGTGACAGTGTAAGTGTAAAACTAGAACAAACTCTATACCTAGAACTAGAATCATTCGGGTTTAGCAGTCTTTAGAGACGTGCGGCTAAACCCAAATGATTCTAGTTCTAGGTATAGTGTTAGTTCTACATAGTAACAGTGCTAGTGTAAAACTGGAACTAACACTAGACCTAGAACTAGAAACATTCAGGTTTAGCCGTCTTAAGAGACGTACGGCTCAACCCAAATGTTTCTAGTTCCAGGTCTATTGTTAGTTCTAGTGACAGTGCAAGTGTAAAACTAGAACTAACACTATAGCTAGAACTAGAATCATTCGGGTTTAGCCGTCTTTACAGACATGTGGCTAAACCCAAATAATTCTAGTTCTACGTATAGTGTTAGTTCTACATGGTAATAGTGCTAGTGTAAAACTAGAACTAACACTAGACCTAGAACTAAAATTATTCGGGTTTAGCAGTCTTAAGAGACGTACGGCTCAACCCAAATGTTTCTAGTTCCAGGTCTATTGTTAGTTCTAGTGACAGTGCAAGTGTAAAACTAGAACTAACACTATACCTAGAACTAGAATCATTCGGGTTTAGCCGTCTTTAGAGACGTGCGGCTAAACCCAAATGATTCTGGTTCTAGGTATAGTGTTAGTTCTACATAGTAACAGTGCTAGTGTAAAACTGGAACTAAGACTAGACCTAGAACTAAAAACATTCAGGTTTAGCCGTCTTAAGAGACGTACGGCTCAACCCAAATGTTTCTAGTTCCAGGTCTATTGTTAGTTCTAGTGACAGTGCAAGTGTAAAACTAGAACTAACACTATACCTAGAACTAGAATCATTCGGGTTTAGCCGTCTTTAGAGACATGCGGCTAAACACAAATGATTCTGGTTCTAGGTATAGCGTTAGTTCTACATAGTAACAGTGCTAGTGTAAAACTAGAATTAACACTAGACCTAGAACTAAAATTATTCGGGTTTATTGTATTGAGAGACGTGCGTCTAAACCCGAATATTTCTAGTTCTATATCTAGTGTGACTTTTAATTGTTATTCAGCGTTAGATTGTGGTATATTTTTATTCAACGAAAAGTAGAACTAACACTAGACCAAGAACCAACAAAACTACCCAATTCCTGACAGTGCAAGTGCATAGTGGTTTCGTAACTATGGTTATTACATTCATATATTGCGAGTTATATGAAATTCTGGGTATAGAAGAAAGAGTTTTGATGTAACTTATAATCTCAAAAAAAAAAACAAATTTATGAAAAATATATGCAAACAAGACAAAGAAATAAAGATTTAATCAAAATTACTGCTGCATAACTAAGCCGGTTGGAGCTTTTTTCCTCAAGAGCTTGCACAAACATTTCATTTCATTTTGGGGTTATGCCACCGGTGTGTTTTTAAGCACGATCCACCAGGTCGAAATATGAGGATTAATTGGTAAAGAAAAAAAAACTTTGTCTACCGGGAGTTTTTTAAGCAAACATTTCTCTATGGAAAGTTTATTCTCATTTGGCACCTGTCCAAACACGGTTCATCGTTCCGACTTTAATTGGAAGCTACGTGCTTGTTTTAATTGCTTTGTACACAAATATGTTTTTACAAACTCCGGTTATTTTTGGACCTATTAATGTTTTATGTTTCATTTCAAATATTAATAACAATTTGAGAGGTGATTGTGAGGTTGAATTTCGTTCTAAGAAATCGAATGGAACAAAATAAGCGACATCAAAATTCCTTTCTAACCGGTGTAACACGAGTAACTCATCACGTATTAATCAATACTTGCCTTCTATATTTATCAACCTCGACTACTTCCATACATAACCTTTTATAATACAATGTGTCGCCGCCGTATTGGAAAATAAAAAAGCACCCTTTGACTATCAATAATTCAGGAAGGTAGAACGCAAACATTTCGCGTTTTCTCAAAATGACGGTGGCAAACTTCGAGGTGAAATTTGAACACTCCTTGGAGGAAAACTACGGAGTATTTTGAAATCCCGGGGACTTACGGGAATTCTCAAGTTCGAACACGTTTTACCTTGGGTTTGCAAACGCGCTCTGGTTTTATAGCAAATGAGACCAGTTATTTTTATGGTTGAATACATAAGTAGTTGCTGCAATTCAAGAAATAAAGAAAAATGTTGGATATAATATTTGAAATTGACGATTTTTTTAATTTAAACCAGCGCCTCCACCAATTTGTAACAACTTTATACCATATTGTTTGGACACAAGAAGTATTATCGGGGGGACAACATTTTGTGAAAAAGTCTTGAAAAAAACTCAAGACTTAAGGAGAGTAGTATTGGTCTGAAGACTATTCATAAATAAGAGCCACCCATGAGATGGACCAATGATTTAAAATTAATACCTGGTTTTAATTGCATTCAACGAGCAATAAATAATCGTCATTAATGAAAGACAGACTTTGAAGAGACATATATGCAGCGATGGATTGAAGACACTGTCGATTTTGGGTATTTCAACTAGCTAGATATGTACCTTAAGAATCAACCATTTCTGTGAAACATGGACAATGACTGGGAGTGCAAAAATAAACTACTGGTGGTAATCAAAGGAAAGAATACATGAACGATTAGCTACAACAACGAATTGTATCAACTCCTCGGAGAAGCCTCCTCGTACAGTTCATTAGACTTCGAAGGTTGCAATGAGCAGGACATGTTAGCAGAATGCAAGAAGGAAGACTACCAAAAAGAACTCTCAACAGTAGAAAGAATGGAAATATGAATAGATGTGGCAGGGCTCAATTTAAGCTATGCTTAGGATTAAAATGTTATCAATCTGTTAATTACTGAAACTGTTGAACTGAATTGGATAGAGAAGAATAAAGATATTTTTTCATGAGTTTCAAGTTTTTAAATGAACATCCTGTATATAATTTAACATAAAATTCATTTTATCTTATTTAAAATCGAATGGCGTGATTGAAAATACAAACTTCGTGCAAATCGGGAAATGTAAAATTCATGCGAATGGTCACCAATTTATTAGCTTTTCGTAAGCAACGTTTTCAGAGCACTCCAGTAAAGCTTCGTGGGAAATAGCATTTATCAAATATCAGATAACGCAGTTACCTTCTAGAACTACAAGTACCTTTTCATAAACGAGAAACAAAATATACATGTCTATATTCTGAGAGAGAACGAAAGGAAGTTCAAAGATAAAATTTTCCGATTAGTTACGAATAAATTATAATTTCAATTGAATTGATTCGAAATTGCAGAGAATAAATGATAAAGAGAAACTGAATTAATAAACTGTGTACTTTAATATTAAAAATATGTTGAGGATTACATTTATAATAAAAGTCGTGCTTTTTTTTCGCAAATATAGAAAGCTCAAAGTCGACAAAACGTGCCTGGACTTCATATGGCATAGGAAGCTGTTCAAGTTCCCCTACAACTCGATCATAACCCAACAAATCTCTGTGTGTCTTAAAAAATAACGATTCTTGTTTACTTCGTCCCGTTTGCGTAAATATAAATATTAGTGTTTTATAAATACAAATTCAGATTTATAAATATCATGCCACATCAAAAAAATAATTATATATTTTGTTATTTTCTTTTTCTCTTTTACTTGCGGTTTATTTATGTATTCCTTCATATACAAAAACGTGTTATTTTGATGTTGCAATATCATTTTCTAATTAAGTTATTTTGTCAGATTCATTACAACGTAATAATGATAACCCACGCTTTCCTTCAAGACTTGAATTATGGTTGAAATATCGATTTCATCAACCTACAGCGACAAATTATAAAATAAACATCGTGGGATGATAAAAATAAATCAATAATTAATGGATGTTTTTTGTATTATATTTGACACAATCTCTCAACTTGGTAATCAATACAGTATGAAACGTAAAGATATTATTACTAAGTGAAAAAATTTTATAAATTGAATGCAACAATTTTGCATTAATTGCCGCGCGTCTCTTAAGACGGCTAAACCCGAATGATTCTTGTAGTTGTGAATAGTTTTTGATCTAGCGTTGCATAACAATTAAAACTAGAACTAACACTAGACCTAGACTAGAAACATTCGTTTTACGTCTCTCAAGACGGCTAAACCCGAATGATTCTAGTTCTAGGTCTTGGGTTAGTTCTAGTGATAGTGCTAGTGTAAAACCAGAACTAGAAAGTATCGGTACTAGAATGTTTCTAGTTCTAGGTCTCAATATCTATCAAATAGATGTGGAAGATGATAAAATTGATGCTGAAGTTTTATCGTCACTTGCTGTTACAACGGATAACTTCCGATATGTAATGTCCAAGAGTAATCCTAGCGCTTTACGTGAAACTGTTGTTGAAAGAATTGCAAGAACTGGTTCAGTATCCAGTTGAACATCCAGATAATTTTTTGAAGATTCTCGCTGTGAATCTCCAGGATATGATAAAACCTTATTGTCTAAAGCGGTTGCTAATGAATGCAAGGGGAACTTTATCTACGTAAAAGTACCGGAATTACTTACCATGCAGTTTAGTGAATCAGAAGTATTTTTAGAGACATTTTTGATAAAGCATCACCATGCGTTCTATACTTCGACAAAGCATTTAACTGTAAAATCGAGAGGAGGTAATGCTGAAGCGCTTTAATTGAAATGTTAAAAACGTTTTCAAAAGACGCACGACTTAACCCGAAAATGTCTATTCTAAGTGTACAGGGTGGTTCAAATTCGATGTCCGAATAGGTTATCTCAGAAACTACAAGAGTTAGAAAAAAAGTTATAAAATTTCTAAACAGCGCCGAAATCTAGTGTCGTCGAAGAAATGAAATTTACAGTTTCCTGTAAATTACGGGGCGGTAAGTAAAATCTAAAAAGGTAACAATTAAATAAGAAGATAACTTCTGGTATTTAAAAACAAATAATTATGTTTATTACGGAAATATTTAATGGATTGCATTGTTTTGGATTGGAAAAATATGTTTTTTCAATTTTTAGTTAGTACCGTAATTTACAGGAAACTGTAAATTTAATTCCTTCGACGACACTAAAAAGAAAGTTTATTTTTATTTCTATTCTAAAACAATAACAAATATACCTGTCGAACCCTACATTTTTGTAATCAGAATAAAATAACGAACTTAATAAGCGAATAATCAGTGATTGTTTCCATTTAAAAAAACGAAAATTGTCGTAATATCTCCAAATATAAAATCGAAAAAAAATTTTTGACAACGTCATCAAATTCTCTGTAAAAAAGTGTCCATATAATGTCCATAATAATGTCTTATCGTTAGATAAACTCCACCTATAGTAATAAACAAGATAATTGCATTTGCTGGTTTTACGATATTTTCAATTTTGGCAAGACGATAGCGCTTTGAAGTTTTCGACATTGGAATTTTTTTAAAAAAAGAGATCGAGACATGTAAGCTACTTTTTTCTAACTCTTATAATTTCCGAGATAGCCAATTCTTCGGACATCGAATTTGAACCACACTGTACTGTTAGTTCTAGTGGTTGTGCTAGTGTTAGTTCTAGTTGTAGTTCAATAATAACTAAATAAAATAATAAGTTGTACGATTTCAAATGCAGCTATTCCAAAAATATATGCTGACTAAAAAAAGCTGAATGAATATTACTGCTCAACGCCCGCGAAAATACGATAAACTTTATCGAACGAGTTTTGAAAAGGATAATTAATTGTTGCGTAGTGTTATTACTTATTACCTCTATTTTATTTTTTGACGTGCAATAAAATTGTTTGTTGTAAAAAATTGGTGTTGTGTTTGTCGATATTTTAGTGGTATCAAACACTTTTTTATTGGTATTTCTCATTTATTCCTTTTTCATGTTTATATGGATGGATCAAAAATTGCGTAGTTTTTTGTACATTAATTAAAGTTTTCATTGATACACATGAGAAATAGAGAGTGAATTCTAAAATACCATCATTACCCACATCATAATCCTTAGTATTCCGCTTCTCTTTGTGATCGATTTCAACATTCTCAGAAACAGACTTATTTACATTCTCATCTTAAATTCTCTCAACACTACTTATCATTATGATTAATTTTTGACGCGCTTTTCAAGATGTGGATCTTATGTAAGAGAACTAAAGGCACTTCCTCGTAGATAATATCAGCTTTAAAAAAAACAGATGGACCTGAATATGAGTTCTTGAGTTTTTTTATTTTATAAAGGAAGTTTTGCAACTTTTGACCGTCTGTACGTATTTCAAATTAACATATAAATTGTTTCTATACCAACTTAATTTATTTTAGATTAATAAAACATTATGTAATGAATCTCTGTACGAGCACGTGCCTCATTAATGATTCCAAATTAAAGCTATTAATAACACAGGAGTAATTGCTCGATGTATATGCCCCTCTAATGTTATTAACACGCCCTTTACCATTTCGGGTATTTTGAACAATATTGGGAGAGCAAACAGAATATTGATTACCTGCACAAATTGCCGAGTTATCCGAAAAGTTGAATATTTTGCAAACGTGATAAACACAACCGCTACATTTTTGTCGTTTTATCTGATATTTGTTTATTTAAATAAAATATCGAGAGAATTCGTAAAACATTTGTACTCAACATTTTGTTATTTCCAATAAATTCTTTATGTTATAACTTCTGTAAACCGCAAAGTTGGGGTAATATCAAAACTTCTCAGGACCACCAACAGCTTTCGAAGTTACCTAGTTTAAAGACCGTATCCAGTGCTATCCTAACAACATTTCTCCTTAGTTTATACACGTGTCAGGTTTCATTACATCACCGGTATATGTACACGCAATTTGTTGCTTGTACATACACAGGGGTTGACGACGATCTAACACGTGAGTTATGTTCCAAATTAGATGCTAATTTCCTTTGACGTTCGTTAACGATTTGTATCTGATGAAGTAATCCCTTATATCTCATTCCTTTAGAAGTTAATTCAACAGCGATATATGACGAGCTGCGAAGTAGCACACAAGTACAAAAAGTCTTCTTTAATTGCATTCGATCTTATATTATTAGGTTAAATTTTTTTATGTACCAAAACTGACAAAACGTATCGAATTTAATCAACTTGGTCCAAATGTATTTTATGTTCATCTTTATGGCCGTCTTTTCCTAAACGACGTGATACAGTTGGAAATAGACATTTTTGATGAAATTGCCGTTCCTATATTGTCATTCGTTGTCGCGTAACGACGAGTAACTTTTATCTGAACACTTGTTCGAACGTCACGGGAAAGTTATAATTATGCGTGAGGTTCTCGCTTTGTGTTTGTTCCGATGATGTCAGAGATAGCAAAAGATAACCACGAAAAATAATACAATCAAATCAAACAAAAAAAAATTGATACTTTTAGAATAAATACATATGAGGATAATATAACTATGTCCATTATAACTTAAGTAAACGTAAACTTAATTATGCACTAATTTCATTAAAGACCGGATAGGTTAATCTCAACAATGTAGCATAACTTTAAGTTAACTTAACTTGTATCAAAGGAGTTGTTAATTTATTTAAAAGAGTTATTAATCTATACGAAACGTAATTATAATTCTGAGCTGTAAAAGAACTTCTCTGTTGCTTTATTCATTTTTGTGCCCTTTTTATTCTTATCTTCGAGACATGGATTAGTAAATTGAAAAGATACTACATTAGCACCCGCCAGCGCTAAGGAATTTGTAACGGAGAACGCCATAAATTAAAATTCATGGCTCTTATCTCCGGATAACTCTAACTTTGATTAACGACCCCCTTTAAAATTTTCTGTATAAGAGAAATCAAGATAAAAGCAATATACAAGCTCATAGTTATATAATTGTGCTTCTCGTTGTGTAATGTTGACAAAAAGGTCTTTGATCTTGTTTGCATCAAAGAGAAGTACCATAGAAATTCCGTCACCAACACAAAAGAGCATTATTGATGGAATATCACAGCATTGTGGAGGTATCACTTAAACCACAAATAAACTTAATGAATGGGAAATTATAAAATTAATTAAAAAATTTATAGTGTGGAGTAAACGAATAAAAGCTCAACAAATAATGATACAAGAGTAAAATGAAATTAAGGTCCAACTCGACATAACATAAACCAAAATTACAGCTTCCACTTCAATTCGTTGAAATGGTCTGACCCTGGCTGTAAATCGTTCTAGATATTGTACCTCTTTTATAACCTGTGATAGCAAAATATAAAATAAACTAGATTAAATCCAACAGATTATGAGGTTTTATGTATGGTATTCAACTTTAAAAGTCGACCATAAAAAAATCGAGCCAACCATTTTTTGTAACTCTTTTTATTTTACATTATCGGATTAGCGCGCGAATACAATTGGACAGATGTTTTCGATTTAAAGCAACATTCCGATAAAACCTCAGTTAAAAATCGACTTACCGGTCCCATGTTGACGAAACCGTTTCGTTCGGCAACATCGCGCGCTTCCAGCTGGTCGACATCCCTTCGAAATCTCACCAAGAATGAGTTGCTGAAGACGTCGGCGGCTTGCGTGCAAAATGTTAGCGTGGAAGCGAGGGCTAGCAGCGACGCCAAACCCAGATGCATCGTGGATCGGAAATGAGCGCCGACTGAGCGCTGGTAAGCGCCGCGACGGCGAACGGCGACGACGCGCCATGACGTCACTAACATCGATTTTCCCTCATCTGGTAATAGAATTTTCAAGTTTATTGACGTCGCAGCCACTGGTAGCAACTACCTTCCGCGAAAGCAATTTTTTACATATTTATATACCAAAAATTACTTTAAAATTAATATAATTGCATAATTACTTGAATGTGGAAAACATTAAATGCATTTTTATATTCAGACCTCAACGATAATTACCATGTTTGGAGTACACGCAGTGGAATTTTCCATATATTATCCTTCTGTTTGAATGGCCCAATACAAGTCACTGTAAGTGACGTGAAGCTCGTCGATAACCCGCTGTGTCGTTGTTAAACACATCAACAAAACGTTTAAACACATTTTGTGTGATTGTCTCATTCTGCAAGATCGCAGCATAAAGCTTTTGGAGCACTGATTGCATCAAGAGGATACCATAGCTAAGTCGTAACCCTCTCCATACATACAATGCCTTCCAATACGAAGATTCATATCGCATGCTATTTGATCCGGTGTTGAGTTTGGGCAATAAGTCATGGTCGTCCTTCTGTCTTTATGTAGCTGCAAGGATTACATACTGTTAGTAAGTAATCATTCTCGTTTTGCCATAATATTCAGCATCATGCCAACTATACCAGGAGAGTAATCCGTGTCAGGAAATGAGGAGAGATATTCACCTTGATAAATTTATTCACCAAGAATACAATAATATATATATAATGAAACAATAACAAATATAATATACATAACTAATTATTCAAACTACAAAAAAGTGGGTTTTAAACTCAAATCATTATGACTCAACAATCGACATTAGCCGCCCAATTACACACTCCAAGATTAAGATCATAATATAAACCATTTGAACAAGTGAATGAGAACATACTGTATCCATTGGCGCTTGCTTGACAATAATAGAAGACGCTGCAATTACTCGGATCTCTCATATAACCAGTTGTTGTACAAGTAGCCCCCACACCGGCTGTTGGTGCAGATGTGGTACTCGATGTACTAGAAGATCCGGAATTTGAACCATTTCCTGTTTCAGGGCCGGTTCCTGTTGTAGGCGGTTCAATAGTTCCAGGAGGTAATCCCATGCTAGTTTTGATTTGGCTCAAAATTGGATTAACTGATCCACATTTTCCGTGGAAATCATCCGTTTCCAAAGACCAAACCATTATTCCACCTAACCCGCGAGCTTTAGCATAAGCAACCTAAATGTTTCGAAGTATTTAGTACAGCTTTCAATCTTAAACCCAATACAACTATATACCTTTATAGCAATTGATTGCGGATTGTCGTATCCAACCCATTGATTTCCTTTGTAAGCGTACGGCACCTTTTGTTCATCATCCCAAACAACAGTCCATCCATTAAGTACATTTTCGCAAACTTCGTTGTAACCTAAAAATCCACTTTCTCCTGTGTATTGTCCTCCGGTGCCAGCTCCTGTTGTTGGTGCGCCAATGTTAGTGTTAGCAGTGCTTTGTAAAGTAAAGGTTCTTCCGTAAGTACCAACCCCCATAATTATTTTATCCGGAGAGGCACCTCTTGCAATCCAACCAGATATACAAGAATCCTAAAACCACATAATAAGCAAAAAAAAATTATTTTTTAAATTTAATACTACTTACGACATTAAGACTTCTTTGTGCTGCTGTAACATCAAAAGATGACGGATACAATGGTGCATTATGTCCTGTAACTCCATCCCAAGATCCGTGTAAATCGTACGTCATCACATTAATAAAGTCTAAATACTTTGATAAAGCTGGTACATCATAAGAAAGATCAACTGAAGCAGCAGCAGCTGCAACAGCTGCGGTTAACAAGTACCCGTACTTATTGAATTCGGCTCTCATTTCTTGCAAAAGTAACGCAAAGTTGGCCTAAAATCAAAGTTTGAAGTGGAATAAAGAAAAATTAAAAAAAAAATATGTTTATTTACTTTATCAGTGGATGCGCCACCTCTTTGAGCTGGATATTCCCAATCCAAATCAAAACCATCAAAACCATATGTTTGTATGAAACTGATAGCGCTTTGAATAAACGTTGCTCTTTTCGCTGCTGAGGATACCATTGCGGAATACGTAGAAGATCCTTCGTTCCAACCACCAATAGCTATTAATGTTTTCAATTTAGAATTTCTAGTGCGAAGATTGTTAAAATTTGCAAAACCAGCTAAAAATCCCAACAAAAATTAATAACAACAAAAAATTATAATTACAATTTTTACCCAAATCTACCGATTGCCAAGAATCTAAAACTTTTATTGTGTTATCATAATTCAAACCAACGAAAGCATAGATGATGTGAGTGCATGAATTTGGATCGATATTGCTAACGGTATATTTTCCATTTCCGTTTCTGTACGCAGCCCAATTACCGTGGTAGCACACAATTTTATCTAAGGAAATAAATTCAAATTAAAGAAATTAATTGGACGTTTTACAAACAAATCAAATACCTGTATTTGAATAAACAGAAGCTATGCTTCCGGTTAACGCTAATATTAAAAGGAGCAACATCTTGACGGAAATGCCGAAACGAAGGATCGACTCAGCATATGTGAACAAAGGGGATAACGTAGATTTTTTATACCTTTTTTGCGCAAATGATTGTTTGCTAAGATTATTTTTATGTGTTTTGAAATGCGTAAAGGACGTTTTTTTTTGTGTTTACCAGATATTTTCTTATCGTACTTAAATGGAATGCTAATTTTTTTTAGGATAAGTGTAATAACATTTATTGACCTGTCTTAGGATTTATTAACAGGTCAACATTTGAATGTACCAAAACGAGCGTGGAGGTATTGAGCAGAGAATATTTTTATTGTTTAATTACATTTTTAATTAATTAATTGATACAATAAAATGTATGTAACATTTTAGACAATTTAAATTAAATGAAACACTTTAAATAAATTCAATTCATTCCCATACTTCTTCTTATTTGATTAAGAAGTGGATTCTTACTACCACAAAGCCCATGAAAATCATCGGTTTCAATAGACCAAACCATAATTCCTCCCAAATTCATTAAATCTGCATATGCAACTTTTATATCAATAGATTTTTCGTTATCATATCCAACCCATTGATCGTAAAAGTAAGCATAAGGTACCATTTGTTCTACATTCCAACTTTCTTTCCACGCGTTAATAATATTCATACAAATTTCGTTGTAGCCCAACATCCCGGACGATTTAGAGTAAGGTCCTGGTTCACCACCACCGATTGTTGGAGCTCCAATATGATTAATAGTTGCGTTTTCCAACGTAAAAGATCTTCCGTACGTCCCAATTCCTAAATTAATTTTATTAGGAGATGCTCCTCTATGAATCCAACCTCTAATGGATGAATCCTTAACGTGAAATTTAAAGAAATATTTTAATTATCTTTAATTTGGAGTACTTACGACGTTAAAAGGTGAATACGATTGACTTTCTAAAGGAAATAATCCTGTGTGATGACCTACAACTCCATCCCAAGATCCACGAAGATCGTAAGTCATTACATTTATGTAATCTACATAACTGAAATCAAAAAATTAATGAATTAGAAATTTGCCAAATATTTGTTCAGATAACGTTCATATATTAACAATAAATTCTTATTGTGTTATATAATTATGCTTATGATAGTTCACTCAAGAAAACATGTTGTTGCAACTCTTCTATTACATCATGATTGAATAAGAATTGTTCCTATGACTTTATCCCATGTTCAGGAATCCTTCAATAATAGACATGGGTTTCCAAATGAACCAACTCATGTATTCTATGAGTGCCAAGTACTGGAATCGTTCTGTCATATACCTGAGCTTGAAATCATTCAATCAAAACTTTAATTTACTCAAAATAAACATATGCAACTCTTCTACTTTGGAATTCATGATTAATAAAGCATATTTAGTTCCAAGTCATAAATTAATTATTTACCGATTTAATTCAGGTACATCATAAGAAATATCAACTGATTCACCCCATGCGGCAACAGCAACAGTGAATATCCATTCCTTTTCATCAAAAACTGGTCTCATTTCAGAAAGCAACTTGATAAAATTTTCCTTATCTTCGGGTCTTCCACCTCTTTGGGCAGGAAATTCCCAATTTAAGTCGAACCCATCAAAGCCATGGGTTTCCATAAAATCAATGACACTATTTAAGAAGACGGTTCTAGTTTCACGTGTCAGAACCATGTCAGAAAAAAGTTCCGATTCTTCGGTATATCCTCCTATTGAGACCATAGTTTTTAAATCTGGGTTAATATCTCTTAAACCGTTAAATCTTCGAATCGCCCCGTTTACTATGGCGTTTTGGGGATCTATAATGTTAATGGTCGAGTCGTTATTCAAACCGATGAAAGCAAAGATAATATGTGTGCAAACGAATGGGTCGATATTTTCGATATCGAAGCGACCATTTCCTTGTCTCCAAACTGCCCAATTTCCATAATAACAAATAATAACTTTATCTAAAATATTATTAATAAGGGAATTATTTTAAACATTTTTTATCAAAATACTACCCACCAGTAACTGCTTGGGATATAACTAAAATAACAAACAGTGTAACAACAAGCTTGTACATTTTATAAACTGTTTTGTTATACCCCAAATAACGAAATATATAACACGAAATACACAAATTTTAGGTTTTTATATGATCAAATTAACCTTCAAGATCTTATCAAGTATTAAGAATACGTAGAAATGAATATTACGATCGATCAGTAGATATTAATAGATTTTTAAACCTTGAAAATTTTGATACTACATAAGTCTTTTTAATGAAAGTAAACAAATAAATTCATATCGAGTAATATTAAATTAATCTAGCAAATATGATAACAAAATGACTCATTAAAAAACCGAGTTAAATAATAGTAAAGACATTTATTAGGATCTGAATTGATTTAGATTGGAGCAATGAAATTAAAAAAATTACAATTTCATTAAATTCCGTTTAAGGTCTTCTTGATTTGGTTTATCAAAGGATTTTTCTCGCCACAAATCCCATTAAAATCATCGGTATCAACAGACCAAACCATAATTCCACCTAAACCTTTCGAGATTGCATATTCTGCCTGTTAAATTGAAACGGTATAAATAAAAATAAATTATTGTTATAATTTTAATAACCTTTAATTGTAAAGATTTGACATCATCATATCCAACCCATTGATTTCCATTAAAAGCGTAGGGAACTAATTGGGTGTCATCCCAACTTCTAGTCCAACCATTGAGGATATTTTCACAAATCTCGTAGTAACCTAAAATGCCGAATTCGCCGGTATAAGGACCGAGTTCTCCGGTTCCTAAGGTTGGGGAATTTACAGAATTTTCTTTTTCGTTTGTTAAGGTGAAAGATTTTCCATAAGTTCCTGTACCTAAAATTAATTTTTCAGGGGATGCTCCTCTTTTTATCCAATCGATTACACAAGAATCCTAAAAATTTTTATAATCAATAATCTTATTTTTTTTTAATTATGTAGAGTACGATATCACTTAATGATAAAGTATTTCACTAACAACGTTAAGTAACATATCCCAATCATTTTCAGCTGGATGTAATGGAGTGTTATGTCCCGTAACATTATCCCAAGAGCCGTGTAAATTATACGTCATTAAATTAATGAAATCCAAGTAACTTAAAATTTTAAACAATTAATAATATCCGTTTTTATTTCTTTTTTATACTTACCGATTTAATCCAACAACATCATAACAAATATTAACCGATTTATAAGCTGCATTAACAGCAGCAGTTAGCAACCACCCCCTTTCATCAAAAACCGGTCTCATTTCGGCTAAAAGTTGAATAAAATTTTCTTTATCTCCCGGTTTTCCCCCTCTTTTATTAGGATATTCCCAATCTAAATCGAAACCATCAAATCCATACGTTTCCATGAACTCAACGGTACTATTAATAAAAATCGATCTTGTGGTAAGAGTTGAAACCATATCAGAATATCTTTCAGAACCCTCAGTCCAACCACCAATAGCAATCAAGGTTTTTAACTCAGGATTTATTAATCTTAAATTATTAAATCGTTTTATTGCATTATTTCCGATAGAATTTTGATAATCCAAAATGTTTATTGTTGAATCTTCGTTTAAACCGATAAAAGCGTAAATTAAGTGAGTGCAAAGATATGGATCAATGTCTTCGACGTCAAAACGACCTATTTGTGGTCTTGTTTCGGCCCAATTTGAAAAATAACATACTATTTTATCTAAAACAATATATTCATATTTTTTTAATTAAAATTAGAATAAATTAAAGTGTTGTTACCAGTGGCTTGTGAAAATGTGATAAATAGTAATAAATACACAGTAATTTTGAACATTTTTGATGAATCACACGTGTTTATTTAAAATCGTCAAATCTACTGAACTAAATATAAAAAGCAATTTTAAGAGAATCAAAAAATCTTTAAAAACAATCTAATCTTTGTCGATATGGAGCACTTTAATATAAGTGCCTAATCAAAAATCATTTTGTCACATAAATAATTCTCCGGAATGATACCCAGATTTGAGATATAACAATAACATTTATTAGGGATACTTTTTTGAGATTATGTACGAAATTTTAGAAGATTTTTTTTAATTACTTTATGATCCTGTTGTTTACCTTAATAAACACTTGACCCTCACAATTACTTTCATTTTTTTTTGTAAAACAAATAAAATTAAAAATAAAAACATGAAAGAGCTGCATTGTTTTGTACGCATAATGACGTAAAACATTGAAGCACTTGCGTTATTTAGGTACTTATGAATGGTATTTGCTCAATTCTGTAACATATTTTCGCCAAAAATATATTCGTAAACAAATTTATATTATAAAAATGTTAACTTCAATATTAAAGTGTTCAGAATAGGCAACCAAACTATCTCCTTTTGTAATTAATTTGAATTAATCCAATAATTCATTGCAGGTTTCGTGGAAATCGAAATGGTAAAAGTCGTTTTGCAGTTAACTTCTAGATAAACGTTATCAGATAGTTAGACTATCGACCAGTTTAACTAGAGGTGGTAAATGCGCGCCTAAGTATCTTATAGTAATCTTTGGCATAGGAAAATTTATGTAGTATTCAAAATTTTGAACAACACTTCTTCAAATTTATCAATTTCTGAACGCAACTTTGCAAAACCTTAAACATAAATTTAATTTTTGGAATAATTTATTCTCCATAAACAGCAAGGAATTTGATAAGTTCATATGAATGAGCACTGACTATCAATAATGATATATAAGAAGAAATAGCCTACTTGAGTGTTTTAGATCAAGTAAAAAACTAATAGAGAGAACTCACAGAAAATCAGTAATCAGATAAAATAATGCCAAAAATAACTGAAATAAAATAATCAATATTTTTTTTTGTGAGTGTATTTAATTTTATAAAATATGTAACAAATATTTAAATAATAGATACAAAATTGATAACAAATCCACTTTAAATACAATAATTATTATTTTGTCCAATTGAAATAATGAATTACATCTTAATGTTAAAAAATAAAGAAATGGAATATATTAATAATTTATTTTCTATGATAATGTATAAATGTAAATCCTACCTTGTACAGAATACATCAAAGTTACAATAAAATAAGCTTACAAAATATTCTAGCAATTATTAATGAAAAAAAAATACACACACAATTCATACATGAGGCTACCACATGTTGTAGTCATCTTCTTGATCAAACGAGATGAAAAATCCAATAAGTGTCAAATAAACTATGACATTGCCTGCTAAAGTTAGATTGCAAGCACCCCATTGGATTGTTTGGACTCTGGCTAATACAATGGGTAGTGCAAAAGAGCTTACAACAATTCCCATTGTTATGAATATAGCATTTTCAAGTATAGCATTGCTAGTATCTTGATGTATGGTGTACCTACGCGCAACCAAAGTTGGAATTGGTGCTAAAACATAAAAAAGGACGACGAAAAAGGGCCACCAAAGTGCATATTGGGGTAGGCCACAAGCCAGTATCACCAATGTCATGCCTATTGAACCAGCAAAGGCCAAACCAATTAATCTAAGGAGGAAACTCATAAAAATTAGATGAATACATTAAGTTTAATTACTTACGCTATAGTTGGGAAAAAGATCCAAATTAGAACATGAAAACAAATGGTTAGAATGAATCATCAACAGTTTTGGTAACAGAGAGTTAACGTACCTTTAATTCCTGCCATTATATTGATTTTAAGGGACTTATGATTTGAATAAAAAAGCCTGAATTGTTGATTGTTTAAATTATCGCTTTGGCATTTTAAAAAACCGTTTCAAAGAAAGTCAATAGTTCTCTGACTTGACAGATCGGAAAAACAAATCGAGAATGCTAAGTGTCACATTAATCGAGAAGTTTGCTTCAAGTGATCTTAGATAATTTAATAAGATTCAATATTTGAAAGAAATTAATTTATTTATTATTGAACATCATAATCGATACATGAAATTCGCGTTTAATTAATAATTAATGTGTTAATGTTGTAGTGGAAATTTTACAAGTCAGTTGTGAAGTTAGCAGCATACACCTTAATTTTTTGTAAAATTAGCTTGAGAAATATTGATATTTAAAGCAGAATTTTGATTTAGATGGGTTTATTATTATTGGAGTGTTGCTTATTATGTAAATGGGGGAATAATTAAAAAAGAAATAACGAAAATATGTGGTAGGTGCTGCCATAGTCTGCGGACTGTCAATTTTATAAACCAACAGAAAACGGCAACGTCATTTACTAACGATCGTCGCCTCTTCTCGAATAGTTCGCGTTTTATATCTAATTTGTTAAGAACCGGTCCGTTTTCGTTGCCCAACGTTCATATTTCATATTTACCAGACAACCAACGATGGCAGAAGGAAAAGGGTGAGTATCGCGAATATTAGAAATCACCGACCCGGTACACCACTTTTATGCTATTGTCATCATGGTGAAATCAAAGATATTTCTAAAGATCGATTGCATAAAACGTTGAATATCTATTATTTTTCATTATCAAATTAATAAAAACAATCACTAGGTAATCACCTATACAAATTTAAAGTAGTTACAAGTAGTTAAAACTTTTCAATTCCTTAAAAAAAAATTTTTTAAATATAGAGAGTAAGAACAAAGAACTTATTAATTAAATAAATCAATTTTATTTCAGTCCCGATGATTTGGCAACTGCAATTTTACGTAAAAAGGATCGTCCATACAGACTCTTAGTTGAAGAAGCAATCAACGATGATAATTCAGTCGTATCTCTCTCTCAGGCTAAAATGGATGAGTTGCAACTTTTTAGAGGGGACACCGTCCTTCTTAAAGGCAAACGTAGAAAAGAAACGGTTTGTATTGTTCTCTCGGACGATACATGCCCCAATGAAAAGATCCGGATGAATCGCATCGTCAGGAATAACTTGAGAGTTCGATTATCGGACATTGTCTCTGTTCAACCATGTCCAGAAGTTCGATATGGTAAAAGAATTCACGTTTTACCCATAGATGATACTGTCGAAGGTCTTGTCGGGTAAGATCTTTAGTTATTATTATTGATTTTAATTAAAAAAAATTAATCAACAAGGTCAAATTTTGTTATCAATGCATAGAAGATAATAAATGCAAAATATTTTATTTACAAGCAACTAAGAATTGAAACTTTAAAATTAAATTTATTGTTTTAATAGGAATTTATTTGATGTCTACTTAAAACCATACTTTTTGGAGGCCTATCGTCCAATTCATAAAGAAGACATTTTCGTCGTTCGCGGTGGTATGAGAGCTGTTGAGTTCAAAGTTGTGGAAACTGAACCATCTCCATATTGCATTGTAGCTCCAGATACTGTTATTCATTGTGATGGAGAGGCAATTAAACGAGAGGTTTGTATATGTTATATAGTTTGGGGGAAGTCCCTTCTTTTTTATATTCTCCTCAATAAAAATGTATCACTTTCATTGTTTATATTCACAGATTGTATAATCTAAAAGGACAGTTACATCCTTTGTTCAGATGTAGGGTTAAACACAAAACTTTCTAGGTCAAGTTTTAGTTCAATAAAAATACACAACAATTTAAAACTGAATAACAACTAAAAATTGAACTAATATTATACAGTAATACCCCAAAATTTACGCGATAGGTCGAATTCGCGTAAGTCAGGGTCCAATTTTGCATATAAATACATACAAGTGAGGTTCAATTAGGACCAGAGATTAAAGAAAACAATAATTTAGAAGAAATATGATTAATAAACTGTTAGATAATACATACAACAAAGTATATTATTATGTACATATTGCAAAAAAGTAAATGGATGTTATTTTGACGCAAAATCTATTAATGTCATCTGACGAGTTAAATTTTTTTCTTCTCACGCTAAATTTTCGCGTAGCACGCTAATAAATTTGTTATTCCCCGCTTTGTGGTAGAAATACGCATCTCGTTGCAGTATATTTTTTCTAAAATTTGTAATCCTTTTTCAATTGAACTTCTGTCAAGTTTGATGTTCTGATTGAACCGGGTCTAAAGAATTAGATTGTTCAATGTCTTGCTCACGCATTTCTGCAAGCTCATCAATTGTCAGCTCCTGATTGTGTGAATCCAGCAGTTCTTGAACGTCATCACCATCCATCACCACTTACTTGTTCAATCACATTGTTGGTTCTTCCTGGGTTTCAGTGGTGAAAAAAAATGGACACAATTTTTTCCAGGCGCCATTTAAAGGTGTTTGTGAAATTTAATTCCAAGATTGTCCAATAATTGTCACAACATTGAATTGCTTCCAAAAGTCTTTAACAGAAAGCTCATTGTCAAATGCGCAAACGATCGTCTCGTGTAGTAAGCTTTAAATGTTTTAATGACTCCCTGGTCCAAGCAGGTTATATTTGGTGGCAAAAATACAATTTTCACACGTGGCACATTGGAGCCATGCAAGGAAAAATGTGGAAAAAAGTTTAATTTGATTGATTTCGTGGCGGATTGGTCTAAATAGGATTAATAATAATGCAATATTATGTAATACATATAAAAGATTCTTATTCAAAATAAAAAGGTTACATTGCAAAAAATTACAATAGATATTTACATTGATTTGATTTATCAATCAGATTTAGATTTTGAAGAAGCGTCAACATCCGTTTCGTCTTCAGTATCCAAAACTTCTTTGTCGCTAACTTTCTTTCTTTTCGGTTTGTCTGTAAGACTTTATTATACAGTCTGTCCGTAAAGTACCGGGTATAGGCGATAAAATCGTTATAAACGGTTTATGGAAAGATCCCTGAAACGGGTCTAAAGATTTATACTTTTTTTCCGCCATTTCTACGAATTATCGATATTTTCAAATGGCAATTCTCCATTTTTATTGCGGAATATGAAAGAAGATTTGTTTCTGTATACAGTACATTCAATATTAATATTGGTTACATAAGAAAATTTTGGAGAAAAATTACTTCAAAGTTCAATTGCTTCAAATTTGTATAAACGATAAAAATAGCAGTAGCCATGAGTAACTATGGTAACCAATTATTTTTTGAAACAATTCTCTGAGTGTCAAAAACTGATTTAATAAAGCTTTTTGAAGTGTGGTAGCGCGCTATCTTGTTGGAATAACCAATAAATTTGTCCGTCTACCATTGTAAAAAGTAGTTGATGTGTTATTTCGACATCACTTTATCCATATAATAATTTGTAGGTTTTAGTTCTTTTATTTGTTTATCTAAGTATTCTTTCTCCGATTTTATTAATGCAAATTGAAACCAAATAGTATTGATTGCAACAGATCTTGTTGTCCATGCAATCTCTGCCATTGTCAGAAACAATTATATATTCTTCTAGTGGAGTACTCTCTTTTTGCTAATTAAATTTCTTTATAAGAAGGAAATCACAATTGCTATTTCTGGCATATTTTATTATACTGCTCTTTGGTGATGGTGGCACCAACAAACAAAGAAAGTGGTTCGCTTCGTGGAAGTTAATTAATTATAGCGGTGCATGTTGTTCCATAAGAAAAGCAAATCTGTAGATATTTATTTATACAAAATATACACAAACTTTTTTGATTGATTATGAAACTATAGGGTATGTACCTGCATGTTGTCATAGAAAATTGGCCCTAATTGTAAATTATATTTTCGACTTTTTTCCAACTTTTCATTGCTTTGGCCCCACTGTGCGTGGGTCGAAATTTGGATAACCTGGTGCATTGTCGATTAATAATAACAAGGACTAAGGTTCAGTTCCAGTTAATAAAATTCGCAATTATTTTTTCATGCCAATATTTCGCAATTAATAATTATTGCTTCATCAGGGCGTGATCTTTTCTATAAACAAACAAGCTACAATTAGTAACTAAGTACAAAATTATCAAAAAACCTTACAATTGCTAAAGAAAGTTTTTCGCTATTTTGGCCATTTTTCCTGCAATTGTAAGATTTTTTGATAATTTTGTACTTACAATTAGTTACGAATTGCCGCTTATTTGTTTATAGTAAAGATCACACCCTGATGAAGCAATAATTATTAATTGCGAATTTTATTAACGATCCTATCCTGGAACTGAACCTTAGTCCTTGTTGCTAACGGGATTGAACAACAATCTCCTTGATTAATAATGACATCACTAAATGGGATTTGTTTTAATTGGCAATAACGTTCGACTTCAGGTATGAAGTAATGACCAAATCAGTCTTCAAAACGAGAAACTGTCACCCAAGCGTTAGCATTCCACTTCCAAATCATTAAAGAGGTTTTAATTTATAGTCATCAGCTGCATTCGCGCCAACGATCGCTGTCGATCGATCTTCGGCGGTTTTAAAACCTGGAAAAGTTTTCTCTTCATGCGCGATGAAAGTTCTTTTAGGCATTTTTTTTCAGATTAGACCAGTTCCATCTACGTTGAATATGGTTTGGCTGGTACCTTCTTCTATCATCGCCTTGAGTATCAGACACAGTCTCTTTATCAGCGCTTGCCGCCTCTCCACTTTCTGCGATGCTATGCCAATTACAACGACTTTTGAAACGGCTAAACTAACCGTTACTAGCTTTAAACATTTCATCTTTGGCCATCTCCCCAGCTTCTTTTAATGTCTCAAAAATTAGCTTAGCTTGAGAGCACGTGTAAGTCGGGGTCCAATTTTGCATATAAAAATGCATACAAGTTATGTTCAATTGGGACCAAAGACTAAAGAAAACAATAATTTAGAAGAAATATGTTTAATAAACTGTTAGATAATACATGCAACAAAGTATATTATTCTGTACATATTGCAAAAAAGTAAATGGAAGTTGTTTTGACGTAAAATCTAATAATGTCGTCTGACGAGTTAAATTTTTTTCTTCTCATGCAAAATTCCTCGTAGCAAGCTAATAAATTTTTTATTCCCCGTTCTGTAGTAGAAATACGCATCTCGTTGGAGTCTATTTTTTCTAAAATTTATAATCCTTTTTCAATTGAACTTCTGTCATGTTTGATCTTCTCATTGAACTTCTTTTTCTAGCTCACGCATTTCTACAAGCTCATGAATTGTCAGCTTCTGATTGTGTGAATCCAGCAGTTCTTGAACGTCATCACCATCCAACTCTAAATTTAATTGTCTGGCAAGATCAACCACATTATCAATTTGATCAGGATTTGGCGTTAATTCTTTCTGGGTTTCAGTGGTAAAAAGATGGACACATTTTTTTCCAGACACCATTTAAAGTTTTCTAAGATTGTTGAATAATTCTCGCGGCATCTACAACATTGAATTGCTTCCCAAAGTCTTTAACAGAAAGCCCATTGTTTTGTCTCGTAGCTTCATGTGGATGCGCAAGCGATAGTCTCGAGATTTAAATGTTTTAGTGACTCCCTGGTCCATCGGTTGAAGCAAGAAGGTTGTATTTGGTGGCAAAAATACAACTTTCACACGTGGGTCGATTAATTGGAGTTGCAGGAGGATGACCTCATGCGTTGTCGATTAATAATATCACTTTAAATGGGATTTGTTTCAATTGGCAATAACGTTCGACTTCAAATATGAAGTGATGATCAAACCAGTCTTCAAAAAGAGAAGCTGTCACCCAAGCTTTAGCATGCCACCTCCAAATTACGGGCAACCCAGTTTTAGATTTATTTTTTAAAACTCTTAGATTTTGTGAGAGATAAACTAAAAGAGGATTTAATTTATACCAATCACTGTCAATCGATCTTTGGCGGCTTTAAAACCTGGAAAAGTTTTCCTTTCATGCACGATAAAAGTTCTTTTAGGCATTTTTTCCCAAAATAGACCAGATTCATCTACGTTGAATATGGTTTGAGTGGTATAGCCACATTCTTCTATCATCGCCTTGAGTATCAGACACAGTTTCTTTATCAGCGCGTGCCGTCTCTCCACTTTCTGCGATGCTATACCAATTAGAACGGCTAAACCAACCGTTACTAGCTTTAAACATTTCATCTTTGGCCGCATCTCAGCTTCTTCTTTTAATCTCTCGAAAATTAGCTTAGCTTGAGAGCACACCGTGTTCAAATCAACAGGACAATTTTTCACTCTTACTTGATTATCACACCATATTTTCAACATTGTTTCCATCTGAGCAATAATACCATGACGTTTACGAATTATGGTTGAATTCAAAGGTTGAGCATATTTTACAGCTTCGAAAATTTTTTCTTTATCTTTTATAATTGTTCTGACTGTTGATTCCGATAGATTAACCTTCTTTGCCAATTCACAAAATCGAACTCTTTGATAATATTAAGTTTACATTCCAAAGATAATAATTTTCTTTTATTTTTTGATGCAAATGAATCACTATCAGTTCTACTTCGTTTGGATGACATAATTTACAATTTATTCAAAGNAATTTTCGCGTAGCACGCTAATAAATTTGTTATTCCCCGCTTTGTGGTAGAAATGCGCATCTCGTTGCAGTATATTTTTTCTAAAATTTGTAATCCTTTTTTAATTGAACTTCTGTCAAGTTTGATCTTCTGATTGAACCGGGTCTAAAGAATTAGATTGTTCAATGTCTTGCTCACGCATTTCTACAAGCTCATCAATTGTCAGCTCCTGATTGTGTGATTCCAGCACTTCTTGAACGTCATCACCATCCACTTCTAAATTTTATTGTCTGGCAAGATCGACCGCTTGTTCAATCACATTGTTGATTCTTCCTGGGTTTCAGTGGTGAAAAAAAATGGACACAATTTTTCCCAGACGCCATTTAAAGGAGTTTGTGAAATTTAATTCCAAGATTGTCCAATAATTGTCACATAATCTACAACATTAAGTTTCTTCCAAAAGTCTTTAAGAGAAAGCTTATTAGCGTCTTTTATACCAAGAGTTTTTTCGACAGTTTTGGAGCGTACAATCCATAGCGCGCGTACCAAAACTACCCTTGTAAACATGCCGATCTTAGACGTGCCCAGCGCGCGTTCGCGGCTCACGTGGTTGGAACGCAGATTAGAACCTGCACAGCGGTTATACTTGTTTACTTCACAGAAGAGTTTAGGTTTGAACGCGCCAAGATTTACATTTTGAAGGAATACAAAACTTAACCCTACAGAGAATACGTGATTTAAATGTCATTAATTTTAATCATCTGGATTATTTAAGTTCCCTCAAAAGAGACAAATGTCCATATTTCTCTTTATGCTGACGCCATTTTTTCACCCATATTCTTCTAGGTCTCTTTTGCGAAGTCACAAATACATAAAGTGCAATAATACTAATTGAACGATTATAATACTTTTTTCTTGAGAACATGATAAAGTTTGGAATAACTTTTAAAAACAATAATTGTAACTGAAATGTTTTCGCAAAGGTGACTAAACAAAGTATAGGAGTGTCTTCAAAAATTTCAACTTGGCAGAAATTCTACGCTCCACTCCAAAAGTCAATAAAATGTCATATTTTTGCATTTATATGCTCACTTATGAGTTGTACGCGTCAAAACCGGGTGTTCGGAATGCAGGTTTGGCACGTCGTTACTTTTGTTGGTCACATGCCGTGAGCGGACGCTCCAAGAGCGCGGTTCAACATGCACGCTTGTGTGCGCTCCAAAACTGTCGAAAAAACTCTTGGTATAAAAGGCGCTATTGTTTTATCTCGTAGCTTCATGCAGATGTGCAAACATAAAAATAAGTCGAGATCCGATTTTGCATATAAAAATGCATACAAGTTATGTTCAATTGGGACCAAAGACTAAAGAAAACAATAATTTAGAAGAAATATGTTTAGTAAACTGTTAGATAATACATACAACAAAGTATAGTATTCTGTACATATTGCAAAAAAGTAAATGGAAGTTATTTTGACGTAAAATCTAATAATGTCGTCTGACGAGTTTTCTCATGCAAAATTTCCTCGTAGCAAGCTAATACATTTTTTATTCCCCGTTCTGTAGTAGAAATACGCATCTCGTTGGAGTCTATTTTTTCTAAAATTTGTTATCCTTCAGCTCCTGATTGTGTGAATACAGCAGTTCTTGAACGTCATCACCATCCACCTCTAAATTTTATTGTCTGGCAAGATTGACCACTTGTTCAATCATATTATCAATTTGATCAGGATCTGGCGTTGATTCTTCTTGGGTTTCAGTGGTGAGCAAAAAATTGGCACAATTTTTTCCACACGCCATTGAAAGTTTTTTGTGAACTTTTATTCCAAGATTGTTCAACCATTCTCACAGCATCTAAAACATTGAATTGCTTTCAAAAGTCTCATAGTTTTGTCTCATAGCTTTATGTAGATGCGCAGTTAGAGTTGCAGGAGGAAGACCTGGTGCGTTGTCGATTAATAACATCGCTTTAAATGGGATATGTTTTAATTGGCAATACCGTTCGACTTCAAATATGAAGTGGTGACCAAACTAGTCTTCAAAAAGAGAAGCTGTCATCCAAGTTTTAGCATTCCACCTCCAAATCACGGGCAACCCAGTTTTAGATTTATTTTTTAAAGCTCTTGGATTTTGTGAGCGATAAACTAAAAGGTTTTAATTTATAGTCACCAGCTGCATTCGCGCCAACCATCACTGTCAATCAATCTTTATCGGCTTTAAAACTTGAAAAAGTTTTCTCTTCACGCTCGATTATAGTTCTTTTAGGCATTTTTTCCCCAGAATAGACCAGTTTCATGTACGTTGAATATGGTTTGGCTGGTATAGCCACCTTCTTTTATCATTGCCTTGAGTATCTCCGGATAAAAAGACGCAGTCTCTTTATTTACTTCACTTTCTGCGATACTATGCCAATTACAACGACTTTTGAAACTGGTACTAGCTTTAAACATTTCATCTTTGGCCGCCTCTCAGCTTCTTCTTTTAATCTCTCAAAAATTAGCTTAGCTTCAGAGCACACGCTGTTCAGATCAACAGAACAATTTTTCACTCTTACTTGATTATCACACCATATTGTTAACATTGTTTCCATCTGAGCGATAATACCATGACGTTTACGAATTATGCTTGAATTCAAAGGTTGAGCATTTTTTACAGCTTCGAGAATTTTTTCTTTATCTTTTATAATTGTTCTGACTGTTGATTCCGATAGATTAACCTTCTTTGCCAATTCACAAAATCGAACTCTTTGATAATATTAAGTTTACATTCCAAAGATAATAATTTTCTTTTATTTTTTGATGCAAATGAATCACTATCAGTTCTACTTCTTTTGGATGACATAATTTACAATTTATCCAAAGCCAGTTCAGTGTTGGTAAACGTTTCTGCGAGCAAAACTCGTCCAAAATGCGGTCAAATATGGTCCGAAAAATCCGAACTTGTCGTAAAGCCGAGTTGAATCAAGTTGAAATCGCGTAACTCCGCATTTACGTAAAACGGGGTATTACTGTAAATATTATAGAAAGCGTGACGTCACGAAAGGGCCATTCAACTAAGCACCTGTTCCCAGGATGTAGTAATCCTCTTAGATTCTTTTATTTTATATTATTTTTTTTTCTTTCTAATTCAAAATAGGAAGAAGAAGAAATGCTTAATGCCGTTGGTTATGATGATATCGGAGGTTGTAGAAAACAACTGGCTCAAATTAAAGAAATGGTTGAATTGCCATTACGTCATCCATCTCTATTTAAAGCGATTGGTGTAAAACCACCGCGCGGTATTCTTCTTTATGGCCCTCCAGGTACCGGAAAAACTTTAATCGCTCGAGCTGTCGCGAATGAAACCGGAGCATTCTTCTTTTTAATAAACGGTCCAGAAATTATGAGTAAATTGGCCGGCGAGAGTGAAAGTAATTTGAGAAAAGCTTTTGAAGAGGCGGATAAAAATTCACCTGCTATCATTTTTATCGACGAATTAGACGCCATTGCTCCGAAACGTGAAAAGACGCATGGAGAGGTAGAGCGTAGGATTGTTTCTCAATTGCTGACTCTTATGGATGGTATGAAGAAAAGTTCGCACGTTATTGTGATGGCTGCTACGAACAGACCAAATTCCATCGATCCGGCTTTACGGCGTTTTGGACGTTTCGACAGGGAAATTGATATTGGGATTCCGGATGCAACTGGTAGACTAGAAGTGTTGCGTATTCATACGAAAAATATGAAACTAGCTGATGATGTCGATTTGGAACAAATAGCTGCTGAAACTCACGGCCATGTTGGCGCTGACTTGGCTTCATTGTGCTCTGAAGCTGCGTTACAACAAATCCGAGAAAAGATGGATTTGATAGATTTGGAAGATGATCAAATTGATGCTGAAGTTTTATCGTCACTTGCTGTTACAATGGATAACTTCCGATATGCAATGTCTAAGAGTAGTCCTAGCGCTTTACGTGAAACTGTGGTTGAAGTGCCGAATGTTTCATGGGAAGATATTGGTGGATTAGAAAATGTTAAGAAGGAATTGCAAGAACTGGTTCAGTATCCAGTTGAACATCCAGATAAATTTTTGAAGTTTGGTATGCAACCATCTCGTGGTGTGCTGTTTTATGGACCTCCGGGATGTGGTAAAACTTTATTGGCTAAAGCGATTGCAAATGAATGCCAGGCGAACTTTATCTCCGTAAAAGGACCGGAATTACTTACCATGTGGTTTGGTGAATCAGAAGCTAATGTCAGAGACATTTTTGATAAAGCTCGTTCTGCGTCACCTTGCGTTCTATTCTTCGACGAATTGGATTCAATTGCTAAATCGAGAGGAGGCAATGTCGGAGACGCTGGAGGCGCGGCAGACAGAGTAATTAACCAGATTTTAACTGAAATGGACGGTATGGGAGCAAAGAAAAACGTGTTTATTATTGGAGCAACAAACAGGCCAGATATTATAGATCCAGCTATTCTTCGTCCAGGACGTTTGGACCAATTGATTTACATCCCATTGCCTGATGAAAAATCGCGTGAAGCTATCTTCCGCGCCGCTCTTCGCAAATCTCCAATTGCAAAGGATGTTGATTTGAACTACATTGCAAAAGTTACACATGGATTCTCCGGCGCAGACGTTACAGAAATTTGCCAACGTGCCTGCAAATTAGCCATTCGTCAAAGTATTGAATCTGAAATACGCAGGGAAAGAGAACGTGCAGCCAATCCAAATGCTGCCATGGATGTAAGTTTAATAAAACCAAATACTTTTATATTTATTGGTTTAAATATTTTTCTTTAGCTTGATGAAGACGATCCTGTACCAGAAATAACCAAAGCTCATTTTGAGGAGGCGATGCGTTACGCACGAAGATCAGTGTCAGACAACGATATAAGGAAGTATGAGATGTTTGCGCAAACTTTACAACAAAGCCGCGGGTTCGGCACGAACTTCCGTTTCCCGAACGCGGGTGGTACCGCAGCAGCCCCAGGAGGCACTGGAGGTGACCAAGGTAACTTCCATGACGATCCCGATGATGACTTATACAGTTAAGTGCGAGGCGAAGTCCCAGAGACGACCGTGTCTTTACCGTATTTATTAGTTTAATTCATTTTTCAAACAATCAGTTCAGGTCAATCTAGGTATGTTACTTTTCGTTCAAAGTGATAAAAGAAGTGAAAAAAATAATAAAAGGATTAAAAAGGTTTTTTTTGTCAAGAATTTGTTTTATTGTAGTTTCCTAAATGTCTTAATTCCTGTTATTAATATTAATGTGTTGAGAAAGATATTACAGTTGTGGCAATAAAATAACGATCTGATTTTGAAACTAGACATATCATTTATTAATTCCAAAAAGTAATACTACACGATATAGTTATTAATAAAAATAGTTTGGAAACTTAATTATCATGTTTTTTTTTTATTATAGTTTATGGAAAATCATCTTCAGACCAACATTTTGAAACATTTACGATATCGTTCCAATAATTTTTAATTGTGGTTTTAATAGTTATTCAGATGGTATGAACTTGAATATTCGGGTTTAGCCGTCATTATGAACCTTATTAAGTTTCAAACTAACATTATAAAACACGATCAGAATAAATTAAACGTTACCAACCCAACCCATGCGTGACGTCACGAAAGGACCGTCGAGCTTCCATTCGATTCTATATTGTGCTGTCTGAATCCAATTACTGATCATTCTTTTGACGTCGTCAAAAGCAATCATTTTGTCTACTGCTCATTGCCATAATGTTGACCACATCATTTACGCCAGTTCTTCTTCATACGTCTTCATTTCGTATGTGGTTACACCCAGTATCAACTTTTGGCAGTGGCCACCGTTAATATTAAAGTTTCGGAGCCGCATGTCATAACTGGAAGCACGCATTGATTAAAAGACTTTCTTTTGAAATACAGTGTGTTAATTAATTATCTTGCCAGACGTCAACATTGCAAGTATGCAACCAATATCACAGTATTGGTATTGCAATACGCAAATCACGTATTATAAAATAAATACTGTGATATTGGTTGCATACTTGCAATCATGACGTCGGGTACAATAATTAATTAACACACTGTATATAGGAAGGAGTTTCCTGTAGGCTGCCCCTGCAAGTTTGATCCTTTTGGTTTTTTTTTTGATTATCCTTCGATACAAGAACCTCATAACCAAGATATACATAGCTGTCAACTCTCTCAATCTCATTATCCCTAATGTTGATGTTAGAGCTGCGAACAAGATTTGTTGTCATAAATTTTGATTTCTCCCCGCTGATATTTAGTCGTTCAGCATTGGTTTTCTATTTGCCATCAATTTTATGCCTTTTTGGGTTCAATCCAATTGTTTAAATGCGCTTTCCAGGACTGTGAACAATTTGGGTTTAACATTGTATCGCATTTCAGCACTTTCATGCAATTTTAATGTCATTGTAGCATTCTTGTAGTGCTTGTAAAACTGCCATCAACTCAATTTAAATTTTATAAATACCTATTTGGGGGTATTTACCCAAGATAACCAAATAAACACCAGGGTAGGTATTTAACAACAATGCTTAACAGATAGGATTTTGTAAATTGATCAATTAAAATATTAAATTTGATTTAATTACAAAACAAGCATAAATAAGAACTTGAATGTGGTCTAAAACGAAATATTAAACACAAAAGAAATTATCTTTTTTTAAATCTTTTTTATTATTACAAACAAAAAATCATCTTAGAACTTTCTGAAGATCTTCTNCGACGTCAACATTGCAAGTATGCAACCAATATCACAGTATTGGTATTGCAATACGCAAATCACGTATTATAAAATAAATACTGTGATATTGGTTGCATACTTGCAATCATGACGTCGGGTACAATAATTAATTAACACACTGTATATAGGAAGGAGTTTCCTGTAGGCTGCCCCTGCAAGTTTGATCCTTTTGGTTTTTTTTTTGATTATCCTTCGATACAAGAACCTCATAACCAAGATATACATAGCTGTCAACTCTCTCAATCTTATTATCCCTAATGTTGATGTTAGAGCTGCGAACAAGATTTGTTGTCATAAATTTTGATTTCTCCCCGCTGATATTTAGTCGTTCAGCATTGGTTTTCTATTTGCCATCAATTTTATGCCTTTTTGGGTTCAATCCAATTGTTTAAATGCGCTTTCCAGGACTGTGAACAATTTGGGTTTAACATTGTATCGCATTTCAGCACTTTCATGCAATTTTAATGTCATTGTAGCATTCTTGTAGTGCTTGTAAAACTGCCATCAACTCAATTTAAATTTTATAAATACCTATTTGGGGGTATTTACCCAAGATAACCAAATAAACACCAGGGTAGGTATTTAACAACAATGCTTAACAGATAGGATTTTGTAAATTGATCAATTAAAATATTAAATTTGATTTAATTACAAAACAAGCATAAATAAGAACTTGAATGTGGTCTAAAACGAAATATTAAACACAAAAGAAATTATCTTTTTTTAAATCTTTTTTATTATTACAAACAAAAAATCATCTTAGAACTTTCTGAAACTCTTCTTAGAGCCTTGTCCTTTTGTCACTTTCAATACATTAAATCTGACGGTTTTTGACAGAGGTCTACATTCTCCAATTGTGACAACATCTCCAATTTCAACATCCCTGAAACAACAAGAAAAATAATAAATAAGCCAGGAATGATTATATTAAAGATTTTTATACCTGAAGCAAGGTGAAAGATGCACAGACATATTACGATGTCTCTTTTCAAAACGATTGTACTTCCTAATGTAATGCAAGTAATCTCTTCTGATTACAATGGTGCGTTGCATTTTCATTTTTTGTACAACACCAGTCAGGATACGACCACGAATGCTTACATTTCCAGTGAATGGGCATTTTTTGTCAATGTAAGATCCTTCAATGGCCTATTTAGATATAAAACAAATTAATAAGAATACATCTTTAGTTATAATAAGCAATGTTAAACAATCTAAGCTAAACTAAAAGCTGTTAAAAATATTACAAAGCAAAATTATTAGCACAAATCAAAATGTTAGTGTCACAACATATACCACCACCACCACCATTTAATATTAATAGTCCCATAATCCAGCAGACATCCACCCAATTTTGGCTGTAAAAATAAAAATGTTATACAAACCTCTCTTGGTGTTTTAAAACCTAGACCAACACTCCTATGGTGTCTCAACGCTTTTTTGCCGGCATTCTTACGATTAACGAAGATCGAGGCTTGTTTTTGGAAAGCTTTCTCTGTCTACGCAAACAAAAATGCAATTTAGAACACTTTACTAAACTAACCTCACGGGGCGTTTTGAAACCGAGTCCGACCTCGCGGTGATAGCGCATCGATTTACGGCGCTTACCACCGAGGCCCTTCTTACGGTTTAAGAATATCGTCGGCTGACGCTGGAACGATCTCTCATTCTGTAAAAGTCGGCGAATTTGTTAGAATTAAAAAAAAACTAACCTAAACACCACGTGTTTTTATCAAAGAATTGTTTCTACATGATTTTTTTTTTTAATACGAAGACTATAGACGAATTATTGTAATAATATTTATGGGAAAACATCTTGCAATTGAAAAGAAGTAGTTTTATATTAATATTTTGAGTGAAACCAGATAAAATATCGAAATAAACAGGAAAAATTTTAGTGAGACTTACTTGATCCGCCATCTTGACAACGCAAAAGAACGTTTTTGAATGAAATGAAATTAGATGTGGTTACAAAAAAGTGACATATGATTTTAGGCGCGAAATTTAAAATAAATAAGTAAAATATTAAAAATTTATTAAAATAAAAATAAACAAATTCAATTTCTTCAATTAATTAGTTGTTGAATGTTAAAAATCTGACTATACTAACTTATAATTGTATAAAAATTAATATATCCCAAATTTGTTATATACTTCATATATATCTCTATAAACAAGGATATAACTTAAGTATATATATATTTACTAAGATATAAGATAAACTTGTTATTTATTTATTTATTTTCGTGTAATTCAAGTAAATAATACAGTTGTATATCGTTAAATTGATAAGTAATAGCAAAAATCTGTTTCGACACGTGATATAGATTTTGACATAAAAAAAGGTCTATTTTTAATGGTGCTCAAAAAAGAATTAATCCTTGATTGAACCTCTTTCTAAATCCGGGTTTGCACCTTCAATAAGTTCCATAAATTCATCGATTTATGTCAATTTTCATCATGCGGCCTTTTGAGGTTAGGTGTCAAAATATGTATAACAAAAATCCTTATTTTTATTATTTACAATTAATTTTCAGCGTTAAATAACACCATGTCTTCACCAAGCAACCTCATTTTTACAACTCGAAGGTTGCTGACTCGCAGTAACGTCCGTTATTGTTTTAACACAACATTGTGCTATAAAGACCACTGCCACATTATACTTGGGAAATGCAAACAACAATTTAGGACTCATTATCCCCTTTATATTCAGAGATATTTTAAGGATGCTAAAAATAAATTGCGGGGTTTTAGCACCGCTTCTGATAAAGATTTCTTAAGTAGACAACGCACCAAAGTAACCAATGAGTTTAAAACTTACATCGAACAGAACAAGGAGAGGCTAAGAGATACTGAACAAAGACTTAAAGAGAGGGGTACGATTATTTTACAAGATATTAAAGAAACTAAGGATAAAGTTAGAGGAAAAGTGGAAGAAATTATTGAGGTTTAAAATGTGATTTACACAGGATTGTAAGGAGTTATAAGATTTCTTTTTAATTGCAGAAAGAAAATATTTATACTATACCAAATTTTTTATGTGTGGCTAGAATAGCTATGTCTCCTTATTTAGGAATGTTAATTGTTCAAAGTCATTTTGATTATGCATTAGCGGTGTTGGGAATTGCTGCAATAACTGATTTAGTATGTTTTAGTAGAATTGCAACAAAAAATAACTCAATTATTTCTTTTGTAGTTAGATGGTTGGATTGCAAGAACATGGGAAGGGCAATCTTCCAAAATGGGAAGTTTTTTAGATCCTATGGCAGATAAAGTTTTGATTGGAACCTTATTTTTAACATTAACTTATGCGGACCTTATACCTATTGCATTAACTACTTTAATAATTGGACGTGATGTTCTATTGATTGTAGCCGGTTTTGTTATCAGATATCATTCATTACCCCCTCCGGTAAATTAATTTATTTTGCACAAAAATGTTTTAAATATTTACAAATTTTATAGCGCACTCTTAGCAGATATTTTGATGTAACTCATGCTACAGCTCAATTAGCCCCAACCTTCATCAGCAAAGTTAATACTGCCGTACAATTGATTTTAGTTGGTTCTACAATAGCAGCTCCTATTTTTGAATATATTAATCACCCTTTGCTTCAATCTTTATGGTAATTATGGTCATTACTTTTTTTTGGATTAATATTGTGCTTAAACCTTTGTTTATTTAGGTACATAACGGGAGGTACAACAATTGCTGCTGGAATTAGCTATGTTATTTCAAAAAATACCTATCGTTTTATTAAAAACACTAATAACATCAAAAAATAAATTAAACAGGAATTGAGACTGGAAGTTTTATACAATTTAGCCTAAGTTTAATGATAAGTTTATATAGAAAGTGTATATTACAGTTTATAGAAATAAATTTTTAATGTGCATAATCTTAGGTGTTTGTAGTAACTTTATTTTAACTATCTATTTCATGNATTTTAGGCGCGAAATTTAAAATGAATAAGTAAAATATTCCAAATTTATTGAAATAAAAATAAACAAATTCAATTTCTTCAATTAATTAGTTGTTGAATGTTAAAAATCTGACTATACCAACTTATAATTGTATAAAAATTAATATATCCCAAATTTGTTATATACTTCATATATATCTCTATAAACAAGGATATAACTTAAGTATATATATATTTACTAAGATATAAGATAAACTTGTTATTTATTTATTTATTTTCGTGTAATTCAAGTAAATAATACAGTTGTATATCGTTAAATTGATAAGTAATAGCAAAAATCTGTTTCGACACGTGATATAGATTTTGACATAAAAAAAGGTCTATTTTTAATGGTGCTCAAAAAAGAATTAATCCTTGATTGAACCTCTTTCTAAATCCGGGTTTGCACCTTCAATAAGTTCCATAAATTCATCGATTTATGTCAATTTTCATCATGCGGCCTTTTGAGGTTAGGTGTCAAAATATGTATAACAAAAATCCTTATTTTTATTATTTACAATTAATTTTCAGCGTTAAATAACACCATGTCTTCACCAAGCAACCTCATTTTTACAACTCGAAGGTTGCTGACTCGCAGTAACGTCCGTTATTGTTTTAACACAACATTGTGCTATAAAGACCACTGCCACATTATACTTGGGAAATGCAAACAACAATTTAGGACTCATTATCCCCTTTATATTCAGAGATATTTTAAGGATGCTAAAAATAAATTGCGGGGTTTTAGCACCGCTTCTGATAAAGATTTCTTAAGTAGACAACGCACCAAAGTAACCAATGAGTTTAAAACTTACATCGAACAGAACAAGGAGAGGCTAAGAGATACTGAACAAAGACTTAAAGAGAGGGGTACGATTATTTTACAAGATATTAAAGAAACTAAGGATAAAGTTAGAGGAAAAGTGGAAGAAATTATTGAGGTTTAAAATGTGATTTACACAGGATTGTAAGGAGTTATAAGATTTCTTTTTAATTGCAGAAAGAAAATATTTATACTATACCAAATTTTTTATGTGTGGCTAGAATAGCTATGTCTCCTTATTTAGGAATGTTAATTGTTCAAAGTCATTTTGATTATGCATTAGCGGTGTTGGGAATTGCTGCAATAACTGATTTAGTATGTTTTAGTAGAATTGCAACAAAAAATAACTCAATTATTTCTTTTGTAGTTAGATGGTTGGATTGCAAGAACATGGGAAGGGCAATCTTCCAAAATGGGAAGTTTTTTAGATCCTATGGCAGATAAAGTTTTGATTGGAACCTTATTTTTAACATTAACTTATGCGGACCTTATACCTATTGCATTAACTACTTTAATAATTGGACGTGATGTTCTATTGATTGTAGCCGGTTTTGTTATCAGATATCATTCATTACCCCCTCCGGTAAATTAATTTATTTTGCACAAAAATGTTTTAAATATTTACAAATTTTATAGCGCACTCTTAGCAGATATTTTGATGTAACTCATGCTACAGCTCAATTAGCCCCAACCTTCATCAGCAAAGTTAATACTGCCGTACAATTGATTTTAGTTGGTTCTACAATAGCAGCTCCTATTTTTGAATATATTAATCACCCTTTGCTTCAATCTTTATGGTAATTATGGTCATTACTTTTTTTTGGATTAATATTGTGCTTAAACCTTTGTTTATTTAGGTACATAACGGGAGGTACAACAATTGCTGCTGGAATTAGCTATGTTATTTCAAAAAATACCTATCGTTTTATTAAAAACACTAATAACATCAAAAAATAAATTAAACAGGAATTGAGACTGGAAGTTTTATACAATTTAGCCTAAGTTTAATGATAAGTTTATATAGAAAGTGTATATTACAGTTTATAGAAATAAATTTTTAATGTGCATAATCTTAGGTGTTTGTAGTAACTTTATTTTAACTATTTATTTCATGCTTCTTCCTATACTTTTTCTGGGCATGTTCATACTGGGCGCGTACAAAATTGTTAACGCTGTTGGAATAACTTATTCTGTGACTGTATATAGCATGGTAGTCGCCACACAAACGCATTCTTAGATAATTCCGCTGTTTTGTAACATTACAGCAATTATTATAACAATCCTAAAATGATAAAACGAACTGATTTTAGATAAGTTTGCCTGGATTCAAGATCTATTTAACACTGGTACTCCATCTGAATTTACTGTTGCAGACGAAGAGTATCTTATCTTATTACAATTTTGGCAATCAATAAATAGTATATTATTATACAAGCATATATTGAGGGCTATTATTCACTAAGGTTATGTTTATAAGGGCAGGCACAATTAACCTGAGTGAATAATAGCTTATTATATGTGAGTAGAATACTATACTTTGTCCACGACTACTATTGAAATTGATTCCATAAATTTATTTTTTTAAATAATTTTTTGAATAAAGTTTAAACGTCAGTGTGACACAAATTCAATGTTACCAACTGTAACCAACTTCGCAACAATTTATCAAAATTAAATGTCAATTTTATAAAACGTCATGTCTTTTTTACGAAAATTAACTAATTCATGCTTAAATCGTACAAAAAAGGAATTTGTTTACGATTTTTTAATATCATACCTTTAGAGAGTCCTAAAAAAATTAAATTTAATTCACGTTCTTTCAAATTTTGACGTTTCAAATAATTATGAAATTTTAAACATATTTCCAAAATCCCTGAAAATTTTATAGAAATCTTCAACATATCTTGGAAATCCTTGGAGAGCCTTGTGGAAATTCCTGAAAATAGTCCGGAAAACTTAGAATATCTCAAAATCTTTCAAATCTTAAGAAAATGGAACATTTTTGAAAAATTATCTGGAAATGTTTAAGAACACTATGAGAGTCCTTGAAAGAGCGGTTACATCTCAAATAAATTTCACATAACTCGCAAAAACTTGAAAAGTCTACAAAGAACGGAAGGAAACGAATAAAGTAAAGTAAAAAGACTGGAAAATGAGATGAATCTCCAGGAAATTGCAATAAGTTTCGATTTCGAAAACACAAGACGTAGAACTAGAATCATTCGGGTTTAACCGTCTTGAGAGACGTGCGGCTAAAACCCAATACTTTCTAGTTCTAGGCCTAGTATTAGTTCTAGTTTTACAGTAGCACTAGAACTAACACAAAACCTAGAACTAGAATCTTTCGGGTTTAGCCGTCTTGAGAGACGTGCGGCTAAATCCGAATGTTTCTAGTTCTAGGTCTTGTGGTAGTTCTAGTTTTAATTGTTATTTTGCGTTAGATTGTGGTATATTTTTATTGAACGAAAAGTAGAACTAACACCAGACGTAGAACCAGAAACATTCGGGTTTAGCCATGCGTTTCTTAAGACGGCCGAAAATTCAGGGTTATCATAAGAACGTTACCTTTTTCCAAGCAAAACTTTTGCTTTACAAAACTACCCAATGCCTGTACTATTAAGCTATGTTGAATTTTATGTGGGACAGTGGAAGTGCATAGTAGTTTTTTTTTGGTTTTTTTAGAATTATAAAACCATACCCCCTAAATAATTAAATTTTTTCTCCTTTTTTTTTAGATTATTTGTATATGATAAGGTTGAAATAATAAAATAAANTAAAAGTAATAACATCTAGTCCAAGATATCCTAAGTCGAATGGTTTAGCGGAAAGGGGAGTAGGTGTAGTAAAAAGATTGTTGAAGAAGTGTTTAGAAAGTGATCAAGATATATATTTGGCATTGTTAACGTATAGGAACACGCCCATTACGGGTATGTCCTATTCACCTGCGCAAATCAAAATCATCAAAAAAATCAAATTACATTGACGTTTCTTGAAATTTTGACGTTTCAAATAATTATGAAATCTTAAACATATTTCCAAAATCTCTGAACATTTTATAGAAATCTGAAATATATCTTGGAAATCCTCAAGAAAAGCATGGAAATTTATCGACAGCCTTGTGGAAATTCCTGAGAATAGCCCAGAAAACTTAGAATATCTCAAATCTTATGAAATGGAAAATTTTTGAAAAGTATCTGGAAATGTTTAGGAACACTGCGAAAGTCCTTGATAGAACGGTTACATCTCAAATAAATCTCACATAACCCGCACAAACTTGAGAAGACTTCAAAGAACGGAAGGAAACGAATGGAAATAGACTGGAAAATTGGATGAATGTCCAGGAAATTGCAGAAAATTTCGATTTCGAAAACACAAGACCTAGAACTAGAATCATTCGGGTTTAGCCGTCTTGAGAGACGTGCGGCTAAATCCGAATGCTTCTAGTTCTCGGTCTGGTGTCAGTTCGAGTTTTGCACTAGCACTATCACTAGAACTAGCACAACACCTAAAACTAGAACCATTCGGGTTTAGCTGTCTTGAGAGACGTGCGGCTAAATGCGAATGTCTGTAGTTCTAGGTCTTGTGGTAGTTCTAGTTTTAATTGTTATTTTGCGTTAGATTGTGGTATATTTTTATTGAACGAAAAGTAGAACTAACACTAGACCTAGAACCAGAAACATTCGGGTTTAGCCATCCGTTTCTTAAGACGGCCGAAAATTCAGGGTTATCATAAGGACGTTACCTTTTTCCAAGTAAAACTTTTGCTTTACAAAACTACCCAATGTCTGTACTATTAAGCTATGTTGAATTTTATGTGGGACAGTGGAAGTGCATAGTAGTTTTGTAACTATTCAATTCCACGACTTGACAAGTGTGCAATGATTTGCATGGTTTTTTTAGAATTATAAAACCATACCCCCTAAATAATTAAAATTTTTCTCCTTTTTTTTTAGATTATTTGTATATGATAAGGTTGAAATAAAAATAAACAAAACAAACTTGATAAATTTATATTTACTTGCTAAAAACTATGTGTATAATACAAAAAATATTTGTATAAACAATGTATCGTTAATAAATTTGATGAAATGTTTAAATATAACACGTAGACAAAAAAATACTGTCTAAAAAAAGTATTGTTTCTATCTAGATACATAAATAGAAGTAACTGAGAAATTGAGTTATTAAAAATAATCCGTAGAATTAAAAGAGAAAGAATTTGTAGAAAGAAAATAGTGAAGTGAATTAAAAAAATAAATAAATCCAGGGGAGAGGGCAAATATTTTTCCTTCCTTCTTGCAGGAATGTACAGAATAACTTACAGATAAAGCCAAAAAACGCATTGCTATTGTACGTGACACAAAACATTTTTGTGCGTGATTGCATTCTTTTTAAGATGAACGTTTTCCTCGTTTCTTTTTAATTTGAATGTATGATATTAAGTTGTTAAACGCCAAATGATCACTTACAATTATTGATAATGACAGGATTGGAATCACATTTACTTTTTTTTAATTTATCAATTCCAAATACAAATATTAAATATTTTTATGAACACTTTTTTTTTATTACTTTTACTTTTAAAAAAATCAAAAAAACATCATGGACTTTCAGCCTCAAAATGAAAAGAAAATACATCCATCCATACATTTCTAGTTTTTGTGTGTACATCTTAATTTTTTTTTAATTAATTTTGGAATCGTAAAAAATCGAGGGCAGTTTTTTTGTAGATTAATATTATGCTTTTTAACAAATTTCATTATTTTTTTAATTGTTTAGGATAAAATTAATTAAAGAAATAATTTTAATACGATATTTGTTGTCGCTCGAAGAAATAAAAAAAATAATAAGAGGGCGTATCTATAGTTTTCAAGTATAGATTGGCCACCACCCCCGCCCGCTATTAGTGGTAATGCAAGTCAATTGAATTGCGTAACCAATCTGCTGCGGGGGGGTGGACGTGACCTCAGTAACTTGACGCTTCTTTATATTCAGAACCCTCAAGCGTAAAGAAATCTTCCAACTTCCATTGTAAAGTTTCAAACGTTGGCCTTTTCATTGGATCTCTATGCCAACATTCCAACATTATTTCATATAATGATGATGGACAATTTGGTGGTGATGGCATTCTATAACCATGTTCTACTTGGTGAAGTACTTCAGCATTTGTCATACCTAGAAAAAAAATAAAAATTAATATGACTTTAATTTTATATTGTGCTTTTATTTACCTGGATATGGTATTCGTCCAAATGTTACCAATTCCGTTAATAAAATACCAAATGACCATACATCAGATTTAATCGAGAATTTACTGTAATTAGCCGCTTCTGGCGCGGTCCATTTTATTGGGAATCGAGCTCCTACTCTTGCTTCATATTCATCTTCCTAAAATAAATAAAAACAAATCATTTTTAGTATTAAAGTAATTAATTAAGTAATCGTAATCACCTTAATTAATCTAGCTAAACCAAAATCGGCAATTTTAACAACATTACTCTCCGCAACGAGTACATTTCTTGCAGCTAAATCCCTATGGATATAATTTTGGGATTCCAAATAGGCCATACCGGCTGCGATCTGCGCCGCCATATCAATTAGTTGTGCCAATTTGAGCATTTTCCCTTTACCCTGCAGATATTCCAATAACGACCCATTTTTCATTAATTCCGTAATGATGTAAATCGGTTCTTCCATTGTACAAACGGCATAAAGTTGAATGAGTTTCTGGTGCCTGAGTTTTTTCATGATCTGAGCTTCTGCTAAGAAATCTTTCGGATCCATCGTTCCTGGTTTTAATGTTTTTATTGCAACGGGTGTTGTATTGTTCCATTGGCCCTCCCATACTTCTCCAAATTGACCGTGACCTAATTTTCTTACGAATTTTAATGAGGAACGATCTATTTCCCATTGATCTCGCGTACGATGGGATAATCCTTCCGGTTGAGGTTTTTCAACCTGAAAAGATCAATTTTGATTAAATTTAAATTTAACGTTTTCAATTCTATTTTATTAGATACTTTATAATACACTTTTAATCTTTTTGATAAAATCTTAGTCAATGAAGAGGATTATTTTTTCTCGTTAAATTTAAAACATGATTTAATATTAGTTGACATGTTTTTCACATTAAAGTAGCATTGTTATTAAATCGGACCGATAAAGGCATCATTATTGTTTTGAACTTTTTTTTTGGCACAATGATAATGCCATCTTTTTTTCTAGATTTATTAATGTTAAATAAATAATAATCTAAAACTTCATATTAACTTTGTCGATATTGTGTCAAGTTGTTAATTTCTAATCTATTCTGAGACATTCCAGATTTGACATTCGCAATTTTGCCGATTTATCGTTTTTCTGATATTATGAACCACATTTGACGTATTCAGAAAGGTAAAATAAATAAAACCCTCAGTGTAAACTAGATATGAAGTAATTAACCCTAGCATGCTGTAATTTAGATATTATCAGAAGTTTAACGTGTTTTGAAGAGTTCTCCAAAGTACAGTGATTCACAAAAATCTTCATATTATTGTCTAAAAATTCTCTATTTTGCTTTTATATAACACTATCACAATCTTGAAAAATTATTTTTTTTAAAGATTATGAGTCCCAAGTAGATAAGAGGGACCCGGTGTTATTGTAGAGGTTGATGATCTTATCAAGGTTTCTATTTTGAAAAAATGGTGTTAATGAATGTATTAGAAGGAATTATTGATAAAGTTGTGGAACCCTTATTAGACGAATCAGTATTAATTCTGATAGCGATACCAGCACAGCTGAGAATTCGGACGATGATAATTTGATACACGGTTACAAGATACACAGATTCAATTACTGATTTAAGACGATTACCGTGAATAAATATTAAAAAAGTTAGCATATAGTTATACGATTTTGGGTGCAATTCTAGTTTAACTCTTTTTGGTGCACCTTGAGTAACGTTAAAATGCTAGAGTAATTGGCGAATACACACGGATACTCCGAAACTACAGGAGACTGGTCCTACTGACGACCAACTGATATAGGATATTGGACAATGTATATGAATATGCCAATTGAACATTGAGGGCATTAGCAGATCCAAGTATCAATTAAATAAATCGTTAAATGAGAATGCTGTGGACTTTCTCCTTATACAATAACCACACTTGGAAAATAAAGCGCTAATATTCGATGCTAAAGAGAGGGGTTCGTTCAGGTCAAAGGATTGGATCAGAGATTATAACTCCGATTTAACATTTGTCACAACGAACGACTTCGGTCAACCAGTCCGAACACAAGCATCCTCAACGACTTATCCTAAAGCCAACTTAAGTAGACTAATCCTTGTCCAATTGGGTATCCAAACCCCAATAATAAGGTCCTTTTTCAGGCCTCGATGGAATTTTGCAAAAGATAACTGGCAGGGCTTCGAAAGATACCTTGGCAAACGCTTAATATGAGCTTGTTATTTCATCTGCCAAAAGACACATCTCCAGAGGCTCCCACAAGGACCATGTATCTTTATGGAATATTGACAGCGAAAGAAAATATCAGGAATATCTAATCTAGTTACTTTTTCAATACCAACCTAACTTTTTCCCCCAAGTTTAGGTTGGCACCCCACCCTATACTTATAACACTGGAGCGTGACATCACAGAGGGACCACAGGGACCATCTTCCGCTGCAGAATTCTCGTTTTTACATTGCTATAGTGATAAAGTCAAAATAGGTGAAGAACTATTCCTCATTTTGGATACTGTAGAGCTGTAGAGGTAAATAGTTCCAAACAAAAGAAAATATGGCTGTTAAAGGCTCAAGCAGAAAGATGAAAGAAACTAAGATACAAACCATACTGTACTAGCATCAAGAGCTCCCAAAGATAACCAGACGTATTCAGAGGGAGTTGAATCCTGGAATCATGAAAGATCCGGCTTCTCGAAATACTTTACATATGATGAGGTTTCCAGCGCAGTCCAAAGCTCCGGGCTTCGACGGCATTCATGAGGAGTGGAGGATTTTACGCTGATATTCTCAAAAACGATCTTATACGAAAGGAATTTAAGAAGATAAATATCATCTCCATCCTGAAACCGAGGAAGCCGTCGCACGTGCCTGGTAGCGACCGACCCATTGCTCTACTAAGTGCCTGCTATAAAAGACCATAATACAAAATAAAATTTGATGCATCTACAACAACCTGTCAATCCAGGGGTTGTAAAACCTGCTATGGTTATTGACTATAATACAGGAATAACGCCTTGGGAAAAACGTATATCGACCAAATGACAGTATATTCTCCATACTTGTGATACCTTGTCAAAAAATGATTAAAAATCTGTCTGCCATTTTTTGATAACTGCTATAAATAATAGTTATATTTTGAGAGAAAATGGTTGATGAATCGTTATTATATAAAAACGAGTACTCCTCATTTTCAAGTAAGTCCTTACCAGTAAAAGACAAACCCTGTACGTCATACTTAAATTAATAGAGCTTGAGACACATCGTGACTATCGGGGAATCCTCAGGATTTAACTACAGCATTGCCGTGAGTCTCTGTGAGTGGATATCGTCGTGATTTATGTTAAGTATTTAGTTTAAATATTAAATTTACTTCAAAATAAAAGTTGACATTTATAACTTGAAGTCGTAGTAATTGTGCTTATTAAAATTTCTTAATTTCTAAATATATTCCAATTATATGCATAGATGTTGAGTTTATATATACAACTCCTGTATATAGATATTCCATCTAAATACCTCCTTAAGACGTTTCTTATATATACTATGAGCAGTATCAATCTCTATTTATTGGTATTTGTTGTACCCAACTATTAAATTGTGCTTATTACTAAAGAGTAGTGTATTTACATGAATTATTATACAAAAAAAATTGAATTATTCTAAAAAAAATGTGACTGACTGTATTTATAATATTTACTCTTAACTTTCCTTTGAATTTCTATCACTAAATTAACTATTTTTTTTAGGATTAAGGTGTCTACATGCTTTGTGACATAAAAACAGTAGTAATATTAAGAAGTAATATTAACAATAACAGTCAATCATGCAGGAAGATGCGCTAATGTATAATCTATTTGGTTGTTATACACAAAAAAAAATCTTTTGAACCTATAATTAATGAAAAAATTTGAAATGTACAGCTATTCGTTTATTTATGCAAAAAAATAACTAATGATAGCCGGTATAAATAGATAACGAGTGCTGAACGTTTAAAAACGAAAACTACCATACCTCTAAACTCAATGGGTTCTGCATGTAATAAGAAAAGAATTCAAAAAGAAATCAATTTCTCTTTCTAATCCTGTTAATTTTAAGATATTTCTTTAAAATGAACTTGTTATAGCCAATAGCACTTGGTGTAAAAAATGGTGATTAACTTCACCAATTAGGTGATTTTGTTTAATTTTTTTTATCGACGAATTTAGATTATATACCCAATAAATAAAATTTAAAAATAAATTAAAAAAATATATAGTATGATTTACCTGAACACAAGGTTTACAAAGATTGACACAAAGTCCATCTGGATCCTTTGTGTAATGTTCGACAAGCTCTGGCAGTGTTCTAAATGTTGTTCTTCGGGCTATAAAAAATCCACCTTCGTCCAATTGTCTAATTCTGTAATGTTTTACAGTGTCGCCATCTCTCACTGTAAAAATTAAAATTTAATAAGTTTAATAAGTCACAAGTTTCCATTAAAACAAATTTTTTATTATAAGTTACGTAATTGTCTTGTAACCTCGAACACAACGACGAAAATAGCAATTTCATTCATACATAAGACGAATAAAGTACGTAATTAATTCGAAAGAACTTGCATCCGTGACAGGAAGAGACAAAAACGCAACAACAAGATTTGCAATTTGCATGCGATGATTTGCCCCACCTGGCAGAGCTCTTTCGACGCGATCAAATACCGGGCAAGGACGTTCTCGGTTACAAAGTTACCACAAGTTGACCTTTCTGGTATTTCCTGCGAGCCCGTCGAAAGAACTCATTTTATTTTCTTTTAGATAACTTACCCGACAACGAATAGTCGTTGTGCCGGCTTTCGGAATCTCGTATCAGGAAAGCTCCGTGCTCGTTCTCTGGCAATAAAAGCTTTTTCTCAGCTTCGATACGTTTAATTTTTCGAAAATACCATCTAAAAAATAGAAATTAAAAAAATTATTTATGGTTTTATAGACAATGTAATCAAAGTATTTAAAGTAAACAAAACACTCTAATTTAAGTATAATTTTGAAATAAAATAAAAATAGAAATTTGCTTTACGACCTAAATTTTTTTTAAGAAAACAACGTGTTAACAAAAAAGGAAACATTCTTTCGCGTTTCGAATGGTTTTTCCTAAAATTTTTGGCGACATCACCGTCGTGTTGTTAAGATGAGTGAAAGTAGCCACAAAGAGGAAGAATGCTACGGGTGTTCAAATCTTTTTAATTTTTTTTTGGAGAAGAATAATGAAGCGCGACGAATTCGAAAAAACCGTTAAGAATTTTTGGAGTCTGCAGGAAACAAAACGGTGAAGACGATTACGCAAAATAACCAAGTAGGGATAACGAGAAAAAGATGATTAAAATGTTATTTGAAACCGCTGTTGTTGTTCGAACGAGTTTACAGTTACCTTTTCTTTCTTCGATCTGATTATTATTTGTTTTTGTTCAAAATCAATTCTCGAAGATTCTGAGGCACCGGTGAAAGAGGTTATCCATTTTTCTTGTTGTTGACGTACTTTCTATTTTGTGGGTTAACGAAGTTTCCGGAATGATTTTCAGAAACTGTTCTTTTATGAAAAATGGTTTATAACTTTCTTCTTTTTTTTGGTTTAAAAAACCGTACAAAAATTTGAATGTTATAATTTATTCATAAAAATAGATTTATTTAAATTAAACAATACCTACTTGTGGTATTGCGTCTTTTATGATGAATAAAAATAGAAAATAAAAGTGAAATTGAGTAGAGAACAGGATGTCCCTAAAGTGTTAAAACATAAGAAAACATTTTTTTACTAAATCCTTATGGCATTGAATTATTTTCTGCCATATTTAAAAATATATAAAAGGATTATTTATTGCTATATTTATTTATTACAAATATTAACAATACTTGTATAATACATCAAATGTGGTGATCTCGGTGACACTTTAATTCGCCCTTCTCTAATACACCGATTGAAATAATTCATTTAACACGTTCAGTGCGTATGACTCTGATAGAAGTCATGTGCGTCTTTTTTTATAATTTATCAAAAAAACCTCGCCGCTCGAACGTGTTAAATACTCTTGAAGAGATGCAGAAACGCGCGGTATTATCGAGCAAAAAGTAAAGCGTTCACACATGGACAACGGTCTTTATTCTCTTTGAAAACTATTACCATTGGTGTGGATCGGTACATCTTACAGTACATTTAAGATTGCTTTTTTTTTCTTTTTTTAGTACTAATTATCTGTATGGCGAGAAATAGAATACTTTCGTTCCTTCAACAGTTTGGGTTAACATTCAGCTGTAGCAATGCTGGAGTTTGTGTCATTTGAAAATAAGTTCTGAAAGTGTCGAGCGATCTTCATGAAGCCACCATGGTGTTATTTGAAAAAACTCCGTTGATGCTCATTCACATCAACATTAACTGCTTGGATTATCCATTTTTCGGTAATTTCAGAACGCAGTGAATACAGCTCCGCTGATAGTCGACAACTACCCCGGGTCTGATGAAGCACAACCACGGGGAACTTCAGCTCGAAGTGGAAATAGTGTCGACGTCGTGTTTTTACCTGGAATCTTGAACGAAATTTACGGTGATTTATCTTGTAGGGGTTAGATTGTATTGGTTTCTGATACTTGGAATCATTTTGAGACATCAGCAAGTTGTAACAGTTTGGTGGTTTTTTTATTCTATTGGCTATGCTTGCAATGCAGTCTTGAGCTTATTAAAAAATTCTTAAGTACACTAAACCAATATTAAATTTGCTTTAAAATGCTTCTTATTCCATCCCTATATCTCACTTAGTTTAGTCTTTAAATCCAATATAATTCCAGATACGGAGTTGGATTTAAAAACTCATAACATCCGTGTTTATGAAATGCAAGAAAATGTTTTTAGCACACTAAAACTATATTAAATTTGCTTTAAAATGTTGTTTATTTCACTTTGATATCTCAATTCGTTCTTAAGATACGATTAATTTAATTTCTCGTCTAAATATCCATGACAATGAAAGGTGTAGAAATGGTTTTAAAAAATCATAACATCTGAGTTTATGGATGATAAGAAATTATTTATGGTTAAAAGCTATATTAAATTTGCTTCAAAATGCTGCTTATTTTATCCCTATATCTTAATTCGTTCTTGAGATATGATCTTTTAAAACGACTGCTCATCATCAATCATAACATATTTTTATGGATAGTAAGAAATTATATTTGTTTAAACTTTAAACGTCTTTTTCTCAAAACTACATTTTCCCAATCTATGCGCATGATGTCCCTCACATTTTTAAACTTATTTTCAAAATTTTTTTGTTTGTATCATCTTACTTTAGGATATGAAGTTGTGCGTGTTACAACAATTTTTTGTAAAATAGGCACCGTTTCGTCAAAAATGAATATTTTTTTAAAAATTCTACGTAGTTCCCCAGTTTTTGAGTTTAGAAAAGTAATCGTACTCGAAATTTGATTATCCGATTTCTGGTCTAGGAGAAATCCTGCAGAAAAGTTCACCCTGCACAATTTGCACGCTTAACATTGCAGACATCTAGCGTGTGCAATTTTAATAACTGTTAATAAATAAAATACGTTTTTGAAAATAGAAAAGCTGCTTATTAACTGCCTACGACCCGTTTTTAGAAAACTTTTTTCCAAGAAAGGTGGCATACCCTTTTAATATCAGCTATTTAATATCGGATCAAAACAAGTCTAAAAGCACCTTTTATAAAGAAACCTATCACACTTAAGACTTATGCTGGAAAAAACCAAATAGGTAGCGATAAATGTGCAGATTTGAATGTTGTGGCTTTAATTATAGGAACCCAGCGTATTTTTAGCGTATTTTTTTTAAATAACTAGACGCTTTTCTTTATGAAATCTGACGTGATGTGACTATTTATCATTATTACATGCTGTAATTTGTGAGTATAATTATTTTCTATGAATCATTACCTCCTACATCTTCAATTCTGATTAATACACCTCATATATCAAGTTAATCTAATAAATCGTAGTATAAATTTAAAAAGATGAATTTTTTTATTAATAGGAAGTGTTAAAAGAACTTGCTCTTATATTAATAAATAACTAAAGCATTTTTAAAATCCTAATTCTCAATATTTATCAAATAAATTAATCTAATTTAAACAAGAAAACTTATTTATTTATTTACAAAACGCGCATTGTCAATGTATGTTTACATTATTTACAATGTCATTGAGCATTGTAAAAACATGATTTCAACACACGCGCACCCACAATTAATTTGCAACACTAATTAGGGATTATCGTTTGTATTGTGAAACAGATTCCATTCATCACGAATTGATAAAATTAATCGTTAGAAACAAAAACATTCAATAAACAATTTTACCATTAAAAAGAACAATTGAAATATTTGTGAGACTTCCACTTATGATATAAATATTACGGATTTATTTATAGCGAAAGAAATTATAACGGATACTTGACTATTCATTTATTTTAACCCGAATGATATAACGCGATATTTATTGTATAGGAACAAGACGATGAAAAGAAGTCAATATATACGAATAAATTAATTAAAAAAATCACTTGTAAACGATGTATTGTAATCGTTGAAGATCAACATTTGGTATTTCAACGAACTCCTCTTCTTCGTATCCGCTATCATTGCAACTATCGACACTATACAGTTTTGGTCTTCGAAACATAGAGTACATTATAGTTTTGAATGGATAAAATCGCGGTGGAACATATCAGTACACACAACACTACTAGATGTCATTTTTGAGACGACTAGGATGCGACAATGCCGTCAATTTCATCGTTGTTGTATCACTTATGATCGACAAGTTTAAAATTTGTGTTAAGATTAGATAAAATCCAGATGGAATCAAATACAAATTGATTTTGAATTAAAAAAAATTACCAAAGGATGCATAATAATAAAATTATCAATAAATTTTAAGCTAATAATTTACAAGTAGAAAATGTTTATCACAAATTTTAGGTTGGTATGTACTTTTTAGTTATAAATTAACAAAATGTATAGATAATGAAATAAATAACAGGATTAATTTAAACACTACAAAATAAAATTGTTATTGTTATTCAAGTTTAATAACCAATAAAAAGGTGCAATTTTTAATTATTTATGCTAAAAGTTTTCCTTTGAAATGAATCATTTGAAGGTCGTTCAATACAACACCAAACCAGGTGATGTGAATAATATTTCTATTTTAGCATTCTTCTTTCTCTATACACATTTCTATTGTTCCACTTTTAACATTATTACTCTTCTTATATCGAGTCATCGTATTAAACAAAGATCCGACCCTGAACGAACACTGTGTGGTAATAGATTAATAACAACAAAAAGAAAAAAAAAACGTTACGCAAAGTTTCCTTAGCCCCGATTGTCAAAACGCAGCAATGAGATTACTTTGAGGCGTGTTGGAGTGTCTCAATACATTCATACAATACGTTCGTTTAATATTGAATGAAATTTATTTATTTTTTTTGAACATGTTTTGAGTTTATTTTTTTTTTTAGACTATTTTTTTTTGGGATTTTGATGACGTAGATAAAAGTTGAACAGAAATGTGACTCTCCCCGACCTAGTAATCTAATACGTCACATCGTCCTTGAAGACTTGAACCGCCGAATACCTAACGGTTGTGAATTGTGAATAATCTCAATCTCCGTTGTAATAATAACGGTGAAGATATTAGTTCGTGATCTTTATCTGAACTTATAGGAAAAACAAAAAAAAAACAATAGACAAACAAACATTTTTGCAAAAAATAAATATGGGAATGAGACAGATTTAGATTACAAAAATTAATTACTGTTTTATTTTAATGCAGTAATACAGCCACATTAAGCTTTTAAGGTAGGTGCAAATAGAGAGAACTGTAATGGAAGTGCGAATAGTTGAAAAAGTGTGGAGGAGGAAGTG